AGCATACTCCCTTTGGTCTAACCTGCCTACTAGCATTAAGACATGCCAGGATATCAGGAAATTCACAGTCCAGCTTTCCACACTGTCTCATCCGAAGTGATCCCATGTATTATTAATGTGCCTCCCTTTCTTTTTTCTCTCCCTATCTCCTTTCCCTCTCTGACAGCATCTTTCTTTTTCTTTTTTTCCCTTTTAGCTTGCCGTGGTTGGCTATCACCTGACCTCTCATGTTTATTGGCAGTCTTCGGACGGGCCAGGAGATGTTGAATAAATAAATAAATAAATAAATAAATAAAGGTCATGAGCCTGTGAAAATCGGTGCGAGCGAGCGATTTTTTATTTTATTTCCCACAATTTTTTTATTTCCAAAGATAGGGTCACACGTACACAGTCATAATTATCAAGAGTCCATGGGTTATGGACTCTTGGTCATATGTATATGGTCACATGTTCATTATATTCAGGCCCAGGGAGTAGAAAAATACCGGTATTTTACTACTCCCTGATTCATGCCTTTCGCATTGACCATTTTCATGCGCGCATATGCATGCATAGAAAAATAGAATAAAAATCGTCGGTGCGCCGCCAAAAATCGGTGCGCGCGTACTTGAGAATCAAAGATAATTACTACCATGGCCTTATGACCACACGCTCAAAGACAGAACTTTGGCGTAACATCACCACCAGTACAGTACTGAGAAGCATAATGCACGCCAACAGTGAAAACAGAAATCACGTAGACAAAAGAAATGGCAGCTGGAGATCACATGATGACTACTGCAACCCAGCGGTCAGAGATACTGTCTGGGTGTCTACCAGCTGGCGCTGTCGCAACATCCTTCACTGCCGAAGTAGCAGCAGCAGCAGCTGGCCTGAGGGCAGTCTACGACCTTACCACCATGGAGACGGACGTTGTGCTGGTCACTGACAGCCTCTCCCTCGTAGATGCCCTCCGTGGAGACCCATACAGGATCAGCCCAGACACCATTGCTGCGTTCGATGCTCTGACAGAGGTTGCTCGGAAGGCTCATTCCATCAACCTTGTCTGGATCAGCAGCCACTGCGGTGTTGCTCTCAATGACAAGGCGGATCGCCTTGCGCGGAATGGTGACAGTGTGTACAGGCCCAGGTTCAGCTACCTATCCAAGCTGCCAAGGCTTCAATTCGGTCTGCAACCGCATACCCCCGGCCATTACTCAACACCAGCAAGTTTCGCAGCCCTCCATCCCCGGGCATGAGACCACCATCCTCAATCAGCTGCTCACTGGCCATTGCAGCCTGCTGAACAAGTACTTGTTCCAGATTGAGGCGGCACCTTCACCCGACTGCACTCACTGTCCTGGAACAGTTGATGATGCTGCCCACCTCCTGCTAGCTTGCCCTGCCAGACACAGCAGTCGAGCAGGTACACGTCTATGTACCTTCACATCAGTCAGGGAGGCAATTCTCACACAACCATCAGAAGCTATCCAGTTCTTGCAACTGGAGAAACTGATCTAAGTTTCTACTACATGTACACTGTACTCTCACAGTCATTTTCATATTTATTATGACTTGTAGTTACCGAAGAAGAAGAAGAGATCATGACTATGGAATTTGTGAGCGGCAGGAGAGACAAGAACAGCCTAGACTAAGGAAGATACACGGACCACTGTTGAAAACGGTGTGGAAAGATACACTGACTAATGTTGAAAACGGTGTGGTTTATGAGATCTTGTTACTACTTTGAAGTAGGATAATCAAACTTTCCTTGTCTCTTCTATGACAGCTTTTATCTGAGCTGAAGCATGAGGCAAAGGAAATGAAATCATTCTTTGAAGAAGATCGCGGTTCTTGGGCAGGTCGAAGCTGCCCAAGCCTAGGGCAAGGAATTGAAAGAAGCTTTCTAGATTTAGCACACATAGTGTGGAAATGTTTGACGCACACATAGTGTGGAAGTGTTTGGCGCACACATAGTATGCAGGTAAACAGTACAGATCATGTGCTTGCATGCACAGTATGCGGGTAAACAGTACCAAAAATTGCAAGAACATGGCATTAACTGCAAAACAATTCTTTTGACCTGATCCGCCTCCGCCACAGACTGCCAGAACAGGAGCCGGGGTGTCGGATAACCAGAACAGGAGCCGGGGTGTCGGATAACCAGAACAGGAGCCGGGGTGTCGGATAACTAACTAGTAGCTGGCATTGACCTGCTATTTTGAACATGTAGCGTGATGCAGTACAATCATGTAAGTAGCTCAGTCATGTACATGTACGTGTCATGTAATTTTATTATGCAGCACAATTGCACACTGAATGGCGCACATGCCACCCAGTGCAACTGTGCAAGGGACCCAGTGTACAGGCTACCCGGGGCTATGGAATACACTGTGAATGTGATTACTTGTCATGTAGGCGTGCATGTATTTGACGAAAGAAATACTTGAACTAGCCGAGGGGAGGGTGTGTGTGTGTATGTGTGTGTGTGGGTGTGTATGTGAAAAGAAAGCCCTCAGTGCTTGAGAAGGCTTGGTAGGTGTGTGTTGCAGAACTCCACGTTGTAACCATGGTAACTCATGTGTCAAGAGAGTCAGAAGCTGTACCTGACGACAGGGCCTCGGATACGTTCTCTGCCTGCAGTATGTCCAGGCCAAAGGAGGATCGCGCTGTCGCCACAGTGAACATAAACTTGCCAAGAGGACCGACAGCCGCACCAACTGCGTTAGAAATCACACGTGGCTGATGTTCTTGATGTTTGTTCCCTTGCCAAGTTGCTGGCTTGCTAGTTGCATCCTGAACAGCATGAACACAGAACATCATGGTGAAAATTCTCCGTGTAAAACTCAATGTTACGAACCCAGTGCTATGGACCCAGTAGTGAGGATATACAAGTACGATCATGTAGTAACAGACAATTCTAACTCGGATGGTGAGCCAATGTAATTATGGATAAAAACCCGTAAAAAAAGTTTAAAAAAAGTAAATTATCGTGTCCGTTCCCGGAGGGTACTCACGACGGCCGCCAACACCCATAACTCGTACGATTTTGTCCTTCTCTTGTTTTTTTTATCCATGAACCGTGATAAAGACAATGTGTAAGCTTCAAGTACTTTGAGTCCAGTCATGATGTGTACAATGCAGAAAAGGAACTGGGCATGGAAAAGTACAGAGGTAAGACTCTCTTGCACCCCGTTGGTATAAAGAATAAACACAAAGTCTTGCTTCGAAAAAGTTGTTTTCGGAGTAACGTGCAGAAGACCAGTGGAAGTATCACGTGGAATCAGCTCACTGACTGAGTAAAAGTTTGAGCAGAATGTACCCGTATCCTACAATGATTATATCCCTTGCTACTTCGGAGGGTCAAGACTAAAGAGTGCCTGTACAGCATTCAGCCTGGCAGAGAGGTAACTCTATTTTAGCAAATGCGTTTTGCCTGGTAACGCATAAACACACGGCACGGCACAATCAGCTGGATGATGCCAAATAACGACAGCTTGATTTCAACGCCATAGCTTACCAGTTGACTTGATACAGCCAGGCTGGCTTCACAATCATCACCCCCACCTGCTGATGCAGCTGGTGCTGTTGGTGCCAGTGGTTTAGCAACAGAAGCAACAGGATTCACAAAAACGCTATTGCTGCTGCTTACCCTCATGTCAGTTTCAACATTCTTCGGCATTGAGGACCCCACCACCTGCAACACAGGAGCATCCGCCGGCTGCTCAGCCAGTTCCGTCTCCTGAAAGGCCTCAGTGGGATCCAGGCTTGGATTAGTGCGATGTACACCAACAGCAGCTTCGATTTCAGTCCTAAAACAGTGACAGGGAAGGAAAGGAGTGGCGGGCGTGCGCGCGCACAAACACACACACACACACACAGTACTCATTACTGACGAGTAGCAGCCTGACCACAACTGTCCTTGGAACACTTCACGACAGGTGTTTTCACACAGGCCCCAGTATGTGGCGAGTCATAGATCTACGTTGCCTACATATACACTGCATGCACCGTTGCACGGCCAGCTAGTGCAGCGCATGCACACAGATCTCGGGCCAGGCCGCGAGCGGGGTGACCTGATGCGCAGAAAGATGTGCAGAAGACGAGTTTTGACTTCTTATCGAGCTACCTTTTAAAAAAGAAGCATTTGCACACGGCCAGTAGTACAAGCACACATCTGGAAATACGCTGGCTAAACCAGCAGTTTGTTTACATAAGGAGAATACGTACCGGAGAGTGCTATTCATGATATTCCATACAGCTTCATCACGTTGAACCTGAGCAAAAGGCAAGACAGTCGTAGCAAAGATAGAAACACGCTTTACAACAACTACCTACGTTCCAACTTCAAAGCACAATTACACATACCTCATTCACAGTGTGTGTGTACTGTGTACCGTATTTTCCCGAATATAAGTCACGCCTTTTTACATTAAAATGCTAGGGTAAAATGGGGGTGTGACTTGCAAACCTGGCTGCGACTTATAATCGAGTGCTACTTATAACCGGGGAGATGTGGTATGTGCATGCGTGTGGAGGGAGATGATGTGTGTGCGTGTGTCCGTGTGTGTTTGTGCATGTGCGTACAGGCATCGGTGGGTGTGGGTCTCGTGAAAGCCTACCTTTTCAAGCAAAGCGCCAAGTTTGCCCTTCTCCTCGCGTACCTCCGAAGTTTCACGGATTAGGTCTTTTGTACGCCTCTCAATAACCTCCTGCTCACCCACTTTGGTCTGTGTTTGCCGCATATCCTGATACCGATTCTCGCTGATGATCTTTTCCAACTTTCTGATGGTCTCCCACAATCCCTCGGTCGATAGTTCTGTTGGAACTTCATGTGGTGATGCTGGCTCAGACTGGTCACCTGTCTCCCTGGTGTGGACATCCGAAGGTGGGCAGTAGTCACGATCTGCATATGCCAGCTGTGACTGCTGCTCACTGGACGTGTTACATGTTACAAGTGTTGGCCGATCATCATTATCACTCTCGGTCGATGATACTCTGACGGGTAGGTCAGCAGCTGCATCACTGACTGCGGTCTCCGGAGACTTTTGGGCAAGCAGCGGAGAGTCACCCTGGACGGATTGCTCCGAGTACAGAACCGGATATTCAGCAGTAGGACTGGCACCAATGTCAGCTTCCTCATCAGACACATCTGAACCAGTGCTGCCAGAAGTGGGCGACGGAGAGTTGCTTCGTGACGATGGTGGAGACAATGGTATGGGGCTGGAGCTACCAATCGGATCAATACCGGCTTCCTCCTTGGTATTGGACATGAACCAGGCAGGAACAGCATCTGCAGGAATAGCAGTAACAACATCAGTGTCAGTCATGGGCACTGCAGCTGCGCTTGCATTCGACAGCACCGGGGCGTGTATGTCATCCTCTGACGATGAGGATGTCTCGTTGTCACCAGCTATACCACAGTAAGCACAGTCACCATGCATAGTGCTAGGCTTCCAGCGTTGGGTCTTGGTCCTCGGGCTAGCTGGTAGCTGCTCCGTGATTACTGGTGCACGTACAGCTGCTGCGGCATCTGCATTGCTCCCTGGATCGACTCGCGGAGCAGCGTTATTGTCTCCATCATGGTTTCCTTCAACGCCAACGGCTGATGAAGGAGGCAGATTTGATTCTGAGGTACGTTGATCCTGATCCAGTGCTTTCGACAGTTCGGCTGCAATGCTCGGCACATCCTCACTGAACTTGGCTTTGAAATGACAACAACAGTAGCCACTGCGGTGGACGAGGCAGCCTTCCGCACTGCGCCGCTCTGCACACAGCTCGTCCCACTTGTTGTAGTCAACACCACCACAGCAACAGTAGCCACGGAAATGAGCCAGGCGCCCAAACTCATACAGTATACCCATGTAAGCGGCCATCTTGTTTGGTTCCGTCAACACACCAGGATACTAGTGTAGAATAACAACCTGTGCAGCAAATGGTCAGAGGGACAAGCAAGAACGGCTTTTAAATCTTTGTTGTAACAATGAAAAAGCTACTACGCTATTGGGCTAGCTGCTTCACTTTCCATTTTCCCAGCGAGAGCGAAGCTCCTTCTATGCTAATGCTGCCAGTTCCTTCCACTTCCAGGGACACAAGCCAAGATAGAACACAACATTATGCACATGAATCCTCACACTGCTGGAAATCACACCACCTAAAACACCTTAGTCCACATAACACAATGTACTAATCATCTTTGCTGTCGCCTGACTGTGGTCTAGTAGTAGGAGTGTGGTCTACTGCAGTCTAGTACTGTATGTCTGGGAGAGGCATAGCTCAATGATTATGTCATAAAGAGGAACACAATGTCACGCGGGATGGATGAGTCACTACTTTTCAACAATGCCCAGTACTAGTAGTAGTACTAGTACAGTAAGATCGGGCGCCGAAGAACGCAGGGGCTGGAGCGCAGCCTAGGAAAGTTCTTAAATTTTTGATTCTAGCCAGACCGTTCTTGTTCACACCCGTACCCGCGCGGCGAGTCGAGTGACGTCATGACGTTTGTCATGTACATGTACATGATTGTACATGTAGTGCAATGACTATGATTGTCATGTACTTCTAAACTAGTGGGTGGCGTAAATGGGAATGACTGTACATGTAGCAGTTACTGTTTACACGTACGTGTACATGACATGTACTCACCTCCCATACATGTACAATGTTCCAAATTTTAAAAGTGTTCTTAAATCTGATAATTCTAGCCTGGACTGTTCTTAAATTTTGCCAGTTTTCCAGCCTGGGTGTTCTTCGGCGAGGTGTTCTTCGGCGCCCGATCTTACTGTAGTCTGTAGTACGGTCTGTCTGCGTTCCAGTGCAGGTCTGCACTCTACTCTCTACACTCCTTTGCACACTACTGACTAGTACTGCTGTATGTACTATTGTTTTGTGCATTGTGCGGTAGCGGATTTCACACCATGGTGATTTCGTGACTTGTTGCCTCTCTACTACTAGTAGTACTACTCTAGACAGTAGACTAGTCTCTGGAGTCTTTTGTTCAGCACGTTTCACATGACCACGCTTGTAAGTTCATGCCAGGATTACCCGGTCAACACCAGTACAGACTCCACACTGATTACTGCCACCGGGGACAGAGAAAAACCTTGAGAAGTTGAGTCTACTCTAGTAGTCTAGACCGGTGTCCAGGACAGAGACTCATGGAAGACACAACCATAAGCCTATAAGCATAATAATTATGTTTCAGAATAATTTTAAAATATTTTAGTGAATCGGTTCCCCGTGGAGTAGACTACGATGTAACCAGGGTCCCAAGGAGTTCGGTGTCACTCCCAGGTTATCAATGCCAATGGTTTCCATCCAGGGTTCCTTCCTTCTCGTTCTGCCTTCAAGGTCCAGAGCACACGAACTGTGAGTCTGACATACGTTAGCCGTTTGCTCCACAGTCGACTGCCAGACAGTGGTCCAGCGACTAAGGCCAAGCCAAGACCAGCAAGAAGAAGAACATGTGGATGGTCATTGTGACACTGGTGGCATGCTGGTCACAGACGACACGGGCGACTCGTACTCCGGCCGATCAGACTCAGACTTGGAATTGCACAAGGATCCTCAATCACACTTCCCAGCGCAAGCACACAGGATCGAGCGCGCACCTACGTTCACTGCCACATAACACAACTCTCGACATGCCTCGCCAAGCTCACCGAGGCGAGAGGCCAAGGAGACCGCTAGCGCTCTGAGATTTTCCTAATGATATGAGTGACACTTACTCGAACTCACCTATTGGACTTGTAGCACTTCTTGTTCAAAACCATAGCCCATGCGAACGGAACTCAACGTCTGATGGTTGATTTCCCAGCGGTCGTCACGACTTTGCTCAAACATTCATTGCACAATCTGACTACTGGTACTGCTATTCACCATTAAAATTTTGAATACCGGCTAGTAGCAGGCTAGCAGTAGTCCTCGTGGCAATACAAAATATTATTGTAAGGACTTAGCAGCAAGACATCACCTACATGTACACCCGTCGCCCCTCAAAAGAGGAAAACAGCAAAGTAGTTAGTTCTAGCAGACTAGGACGCATACTAATGCTGAGATCCCGCCAACCAGCAACAACAGTACAAGCCTAGCCAAGGATCGATCTAGCTACATCATCATGACTGTATCTTATATTATAAGTTATATCTTATCTAGGACGAGCGTCGAGCTGCACTCCACAGTCCACTTCTTTACTTGGAATGGGCACTCGGTCATTTGTGTCACAAATGCATGATAATGCATGTTCACGCATTGGTGTGACACAAATGACCCAGTGCTAGTGGCGAGCTAGTAGTACCAGGTAGTACATAATAATAGGGAGGTTTCGCTCTACGGAATTACGTATGAAAATAACGTATGAACTGCACGGAATTTTCATACGGAAAAATCAGAGCTGTTGGCCATTGGGTTTCGCTCTACGTGATTTCTCCACAACTGCTAAACACGCGTTGTTGCTTTGAAGACGCGTTGGCTGCATGCGCCCGCCGCATGCACCGTGAACCGAAACCGCATTTTCCATTATATTTTGCATGTGGTGTACGGTGTGTGTACCTTGTGTTTCGCGCGGCTTGAATGTTGCCATGGACAAAAGCGAAAAAATATTTCAAAAAGTCCTACGGAGGACCCAACGTAGGAAAGAGCTTTCCTACGGAAATCCGTAGAGAGATTTACGTATGAAAGTTGCCCTCGCTCCCCGGCGCGTACGACATACGGATTTTCATACGTAATTACGTAGAGCGAAACCTCCCTAATAATAATTATTATTGTATTCAACAGGCACGCGCACTCGCGCAGTCGCGCACTCAGTGGCATGTCATGATGTGTCACGCTAGGCCTTGACGGATTATGCTAATATTTTCGTGAAATTATGCTTTTCGCATTGCTGAAAAAATGGCAGAATTATGCTATTTTTATGCTAAAAGTTATCATAATTATGCCGCATTATGCTCACATATGCTGCTAATGTATATGATGGTTCTGTGCAAAATAACAGGGGGATTTTTTGTATAGGGCGTTGTACTGTACTAGTAGCAAAAGTTCAACGGGGTCAACGCGCCGTCCGACCTACAATTGTAGCTACGACCGTCACCAAGAGTACTTTTTTTGGTTTATGTACTCTTGCCGTCACTGATTGTAGTGGACTGGACATGTTATCAAGGGAGTCGTAAACCTACGACTTCCTGGTGCATCTACTTGTACTTGTAGAACATGACTGTACAACTGTATGGAATTATTTGATGCGAACAGGCGGATTATTCCAATTATTTATGCGATTCGTATGCAATTAGCCTCGAATTATGCGATTATTCGATTTTGGTAGGAATTATGCGAAAAATTATGCTAGCATAATCCGTCAAGGCCTATGTCACGCATTGCGGCATTGGCATTGTGTGACACAAATGACCTAGTGCAGCTAGCTGTTTATGCAGTAATCAGCCACAACAGGCACGCGCAGTCGCGCACTCGCGTGACTCGGTCATTAAATTTGTGTCATACATGCATGATAAATGGAAGTTTCCGGAGGAGGAAGGAGGAAACTGTAGTTATCACCAACCCTCACCGCGCCCAGCTCACGCCGCTACGGCGTGCGACCTGAGCTGGGCGCCCTGCCCAGTATGGAACTGTCCTCAAGCCAGTCACGTATTTGGCAGCCCAGTGAGCTGTCTACCGGATCGCAGCGTTTAGAAGCGCCAAATGCGGCAGGGCCAGTCTCAGGCTGGTCGCGTAGGCGGCAGGCCGGCGGGCGACCGGCAAGGCTGCATTCGCATTTGGATCACCGAAGTGATACAGGTGCTTCGACGGCACTCCGCGGCGCATCAAGGAGGCTTCTGGGGCCCAGGCAGCCCGCCCGTAAGCGCACCACCGTATCAGGTATGCGCAGGTGGAGCAGCAGAGCAAGATGTGTGCCGGACACTCACCATCATCCGGTCGACTGCATGGTTGTGCGACTTTACACAGCCGTCACTCATTACTTGCTATTGCTTGCAGAAGGCCAGAATTTTTTTTTTCTTTTCGCTCTTTCCCTTCTTCCAGGCACGGCTTCATGTTAGAGCAGTAAATTGCAGTTAGGGACTCAGCTGAGTCAAGCTGGACTCAGCGTGTCAAGTTTGGCATAATACAATAAGCGCGCTATCCCCAAACAGTTGTGTGGTTATTGTGTGAGTGTATATGCAGGAGTCCGCGGTCACGTGAGGGGGGAGTGATAATGCATTGTTCATGCATTGGCATTGTGTGACATGACACAAATGACAGGCAACAGGCACGCGCATTCGCGCAGTTGCGCACTCGGTGGCATGTCGACATGTCGTCATGTCATGATGTGTCGCGGCATTGGCATTGTGTGACACAAATGACCCAGTATTCAACAGGCACGCGCAGTCGCGCAGACTAGACGCGCACTCGCGTGTGTCATACATGCATGATAATGCATGTGTCACGCATTGGCATTGTGTGACACAAATGACCGAGTGGCGACTCTGGCGAGTCACCCGTGCGAGTGCCTGTTTACCATGGTTTACAATGGTTTATGCACGGATCGGGACAGTCAGCTCGGGTCTCGGGATCGGGACAGTCAGCTCGGGTCTCGTGATCGGTACATGACCAAAATAGGATACTAGTAATCGACCACGTCTTTGATCAGACGACCACCTGTAGCTATCCCAGCTGCGCGGATGGAGCGGCGGGAGGACGACTATTCGGATAATTAATGATTATTTAACCCTTTTATGTGGAGCTTTGAATAAACAGTGTTACTACCATTATGATTAATCAGTCGAAGAGGTACGAAATAGAGGTTGCGACTTCGGCAATGATTTTGTTTAGGAATGGGTTTGCTCCCACACTGGAGCTCGCGCTATTCCGCCGACAACTTGACACTTGACTGACTCACGACTGCCATCCAGAGAACACGAGAAGTCCATCGAACCTTCGACTCGGCAAACCTGCAAGAAAGCACCACTCCCTGTTCAATAGTGAATACACAGTGTTTCGGGGAATTCACCCCTCATCAGTTGAGCCTGAGTAGGCTGAGGAAGATTGTGCCTGAGGAGCACCACTTATACATGTATAGTGCTGTCCAGGCACAAACATCTAATCACCAGGGATACAAACTTACAGAGCCTGTGACGCTCCGTTTCCAGCGCGACAAACACCTCGTGAACACCAGATAGCAGCGTGAGTCAGTCGAAGAGGTGTTTACTTTATACTACATTATTGTAACGTTATTGCATGTACTCTGCTGGAATGACGGCTACACCTAATACCTCAGTGGTTAGAGCATCGCTGGCCTGGTTCGAATCCTGGTGGCGACAGCCAATTTTTTCTTCAGACTTTTCCCGTTTGTGTCTTTTCCTCAAACCAGTTAATGTATTACAGTCATGTACAAAATATGTCCAGTCAAAATGTAATACTGTCTGCTGGCCTGGATAAGGAGACCATCTCAGGCTCACGTCCTGTACACCACATGATTGTATGTGTCTGGTATGGGAGCATGCCATGTACACCAAGTGCAACCATGCAGTCACTCAAGACATGCCAGGAATGGTGACTGTGGGGTACTCGTAGTCGAGTGCAAGTATGTAATTGTGTTGATGCTTCACAAATGTGTTATTTTGCCCGTACAAGAGGCTCAAGCTGTTTGGCAAAAAAATGTTCGATCAAGAGTACGTTTTACCCCAAAAGCGTGTAAAAATTCACGGAGCGCACTTGCTCGGGATTTGCCCAATCGATCATGCCCTTGGTTCAACCATGTTTTGCATCTGTAGGAAGCCTCAAGGAACACCACCACCCTCAAGGATCAAGGAGCAGATCATGGAACTCCAAAAAGCGTGTAGAGACTTCTACAATCTCTACGCAGTGCTGCACCGGCAAAGTTTCACATTACATGGCATGGTTCAATAGGTTATGGTGGCAAACCGTGAAAACTGAAAAGCGACCACAAGCAAATTGTACCCAAAGCTATCATGCACAGAGTACAAATAGTGTGCACAGGTTTGCCACACCGGCGGTGAGCGATCTGAAACTTCTGCCATCACAGATCCCATAGACTGGAGGTGCATGTTCTTGGGGACTATGTACTCTTGGTATCGCTTACTTGTACAAGTTGAATTTATGCTTCAATGAAACTGTGCGAAGCGTCGTACAAGCAAACATGTCCCTGCACATTTTTAAAATACTACTGTATGCTGTGAAGGAATGCCAAAACTGCCCTTTTTTACAGAAAGTAAGAATCCGTAACCAAATTATGAACTGTTGCCGAAATCATAGTAACTTCTAGCGCACACAGCTGAAGTATGAAATAAAATGTGCCTAAACACACTGCCAAACTGGCAACCCAACAAGGGCAGAGCATAATCTTAAAAGCACGCACCGGTTGGAAAGCAGCTTACTGGGCTTCATTCAAATCTAATACGCTGAAAAAGACAATGGTAGGTAGGGCCTGAGCCAGCAGATTCTGAGGGTACCCGCATGTGCCCACCAAGCATATGCATCTACTTGTAAGGGTGCGGGGGTATCTTGCACAGCAAGAATAATTATTCATCATCACAATGCAGCATACTCATGTGCTGAGCAACTGGACAGCAACAGCGCAAACAGTCGAATGCACACCTTGCCTGAGATGGTTCACAGCAGGAAAGCCAGGTGCTACTCTATCCATTATACTTTCTGCAGACATTGGCACGTGAACAGACAGATACACAGACACGCAAACATATTTTCTAGAATGGGGAATGCGAAGGAAGTCTCGGTGTACATGTATCTAGAGAATCTCCCTTCTACTGTTGCATGCATGTACTACTATTAAGAGTACAATAATTATTATAAAGCTCCCAAAAGAGTGTGCAACTCCTGATACCCTTTATATGGGGTGCACCGACGGTGAAAACTCATATCACGCTGTGTAGTGTTACCGCTGTACGTTCCCAGGACGTTTTTAGCGAGCAGCGGAGTAAAAAATTGCCCTCCCTGACAGAAACACACTCTGCCCATCAGGACCATGGCAGATATTTGGATTGCAAACACGCTATCCCTCGTTGTACAGTGCTGCTCAATGAAATCCAGTCACGTCACTCAGATTTGCACCTTGCACTCCTTCGCAGCCCAGTGTTCACAGGTAGGGCTGCACAAAATCCGGCGCATACTTGAGTGACGCGACTGGATTTCATTTACTGTAAGACATGTATATATAACGAGGAAGCAAATCTAACGTTTTAACGGACGACATTTCTTCGTTATAATAAGATCCGTTGAAGCCGTACTGCTTCATATATGCTGTGTGTGGATATGGCAGAATACTGCAAGATCGTTAACATATCTTCTTGTTAACCTGTGAATTTTGGACAATCGTTAAATTTGCGACTCGTTATAATAACATGTCTTACAGTAGCAGCACTGTACATAGTACGAAACATACGTACCTGAAACATGACTGTGATGTGAGTTTTCTCCATCAGAGAAACCATATGCAAAGCTGCACAGTTACGGGAGCTCATTTTTACTCTTCCTATTATGATACGTTTTTGAGCACTCATAAATACACGACAAAACATTGTCTTACTGTAGAATAGGAGAACATCCCAATTTCAAATTCCACAACTAAAGAGCGGCATAATAGCCTGCATATGTACATGTATAATCTCTTCACGCAGGTCTTGATCAAAGCTAATGTTACAACTTACTACATACAACCATGAAAACTTGAACATACAGTGATGCTCGACAACATTCAGGCTACATGAGCCAACTGTACAGTCCATTTCAAAACTATAGACGCGTACCTAGGTAAAAACCGTTATGCCAGCATCTATACCACATCAAATCTGTGATCACTTTGTGCATAAAAATTTCCAAATTGGGCGTCTGTTATCCAATTGTTTAGAAACTATATGAGAGTAATTGTGGAGCGGACCTGAGCAATATTCCGAAAACTATTCTCAAAAAGCTCCAGCCAAATTTGAAATATTTCAAAAACCCTACGCGTCTATAGTTTTGAAATGGACTGTAGTGCCCTCCGCAGAGGGCTGGCAGCGTGAGCGTTCACCGTTATATACCACACATGTACTCAAAGAGGGATATTCAATGATAGAATCCTAGCATGTGTACAATGTATACTGTAGGACTGCATGCAATGAATCAGGGCCAGTTCGAATCCCGCTGAACCCCTGGAATTCATTTGAACCTCGTACCATGTGACTAATAATTATAAGCACCAACTCGGCTACCTTCACAAAATGAGTTGCCATATTTTCTGGAATCGGCGCCGGTCTCTTATTGCCACGCGTCTGAAATTCCAGGGCTCGCAAACTACTAAGCACGCCGGCCAGTGTTGCCGGAAGTACGGTATCCGTATCATCATGATAATGACCTAGTTGAAGAACAAGCAAGGGTCCGGAGCTGGTAGTCTCTCTCTCTCTCTCTCTCTCTCTCTCTCTCTCTCTCTCTCTCTCTCTCTCTCTCTCTCTCTCTCTCTCTCTCTCCCTCTCTCTCTCTCTCTCTCTCTCTCTCTCTCTCTCTCTCTCTCTCTCTCTCTCTCTCTCTCTCATCAATTTATTTTAAAATTTTATTTACCACTCGACTCACGTCACGGTTATCATGGCAGTGTAGCAACAGCAAACTAACTTACAAAATTAAAAGTCTCCGAATAGTATGCTGGCGCAGTACCAAGAGTACATGGGTTGTGTACTCTTGGCAGAACATAATGTCATTATGGATATGGATTGGAGAGACACAGACAGCATGTATCGTACTCAAACCATGAGTGCTTTCGGGAGTCCCTAGAGGTGGATATACTTATCAGTTATCAGCGATAATGCCATTGTAGAGCGTACCTTGAATGTCGTCATAGGATCACAAGACTCCACACAGTCTTCAATTTAGCTTGAAGCGAGCTTTTCGTCTACATTTATCTGCTTTTTACGATAATAGTCTTGCCAAAATCGTAACCAACGTCGACGCAAAGACGATCCCTGCCATCCTACCACCACTCCCGCCGCAAAAGATGCCGTGACGGACGCACCAAATACAAATCTGTCCACATCCATCGTTACAGCGATCGTGTATTTCTATTCAAGCAATTATTATTATTTTGATTGCTTTTTCAAAACTAAAATTCTGCTGGCGAAACGTGGATACGGACTGTGGTATATCTACAGCTATACTACCAGCTCCGGCCCCGGCCCCGGCGCGGCCTGTCTTTACCGTATACGACAAGAGTGCTGACCGTATACGTAGATCTACCGATATCCGGATACGCATATCTGCTCAGTGAACAGGGAGTACTAAAAAACGTTGTTTTTAGTACTCCCTTGCCTGCTGCCGCGCTGGGCCCTCGAACCGGACGACACGCGAGTGATAGCAACAACCCACAAACCATCTGTGTTACTTAGTTACTCAGTCTTGGCAACGGCATTGTGTGAAAACAGGGAGTCGACGATCGGGCACTGCCTGCATGCATGCACACAACAGTAGTCAGTACTATACTGTCAACCATGGTCAACAGGGGTATCAGCCGGACAAAGTCGAATCGATAAATAGGATGATAGGGTTCTTTCATTGAAAGAGCTCCTCGTGTTTTCTGGGAGAGTCGTAGATGTAGCCTAGCCTGTCCATCATGGTACATGACTTGTACATGATCTGATGATTGTAGTCTTGTAGAAGTTTTGCTTCCTCCTATGGCCTACATGCCGGAGCGCGTGGCCGTGACCTGATTTTTGCAAAGTGTAGTCTTGCAGGCAAAGAATTTAGTTACTGGGAACTACATGTATTAGAATGATGTACATGTGCATGTGCGCACTGCCACTGCCACTGGTCACCAGGCTACGTGCAGCACTGCTAGCGGTTGTGGACTTCGTATGATGACGTGACTGCACCCTCATCCTTGGCTAAAGTCGTAAAGTAACAGTTACACATTAGTTAGTTGCACTTGGACAGAGTGGCGCCTAGACCTGACCAGTGAAAAGTCGGCGGACTCTGTTGAAAGTCATGGCGTGTGTAGTATTTGCCTATTGGCATCAAGTCCACAAGATGAAATCTGACTGAACAGAGTAGTAGTATGGTGCAGTGCTGCAACTGACTCATCCAGTCATAAAGTCATCCAGTCATACAGTCATCCAGTCATAGTCCGCATTGCCACACAGCACTAGTACTAGTAGTAGTCACAGAAACTGAGACTGTGAGAGAGGAGTACCTGGAGTACTGCCAGAGCCAGCACGCTGCAGTACAGGCTAAGGAGGTGGCAGCATTTGGTGCACTTCACTGACTGTGTACCTTGTTCTGGTAGTATGGAGCAGGTGAAACATGGACTACCCAACCGCTCACACGTCATCACCGTACAGCAGAAAGGTACGCTTAGCAGTTAGCGCATATACCCACGTGAGGTTCATCCACCGTCCGCATAAGGCTCAATTTGCCGAAGGCAAAGAGTGAAACACACAGACAGAAGACCGAGCAGTTGCGGTTTCGTAACTCTGAGTTTCACGAACTGAATCGATCATTTGACGAAAATTCAATCGAAGTATCAATTTTCGTCTGATGATCGATTCAGTTAGTGAAACTCAGAGTTACGAAACCGCAACTGCTTGCTCTTCTGTCTGCGCATATACCAATATCTGTAAATACAAAATGCAGAATACGATACGTACACCGTGATGGTGTTTCTGCCATACTAGTACTTGATCAAGTCGATGCACAAAGTCCAGAGCCTCTCACACACTGGGAACAGAATAGAACAATTATTTGTATGTTGCGTTTCCGACTTGTCTGACGATCGCCTACACATGACATACGAAGTCACAACAATAATTGTTGTGACTTCGTATACTGTAGAATCCCGCGTATAAGCCCATGCTCGCGCATAAGCCCAGGGAAAGTTCGAACATCGCAAGGCTTCGTCCTACAAGGCCATGGGCCTAATTCGTACCAAGAGTCCATAAATTATGGACTCTTGGTCGCACCATGTACATTTTTTGTACATTCAACACAATCATCCGTTGTTTTTGTTTGCACAGTGGCTTTCAGCAATGTAGTTCTCACTTCCTTGGTACTTTTATATAGCACAATGTGAGTATCAGCGTATAACTATAAGCCCATGCCCGCGTATAAGCCCATGTTCTTGTATAAGCCCACTGAAATGTCCTTGTGAAACAGATAAGCCCATGGGCTTATCCGCGGGATTCTACGGTAGTTATTAACATGTTACTCTGTTCCCAGTTTGTAAAGACGGTAGCGGGTACATGTACATGTACGTACTTTCATCATTGCCTTCTCATCAAGTACACAGGTAAAAAGAATTCAGGATTGACTATGCCTCGGAAAGATTTGTGAAATAGAAAGATGTCTACAGTGCAGAGCCCACATGACATGACTTGAAACTGGGTAGGAGGATTAGGGTATGCGAATAATCCTTGAAAAATAGCAATTGAAATATTTCAGTTCGATATGTTGTGCATTTTGAGAAGATCATGTGAGCCGGCACCTCCATAAAAAAAGTATACAGATACATGCAATGTGAAAACTTCCACATTTCCTACATTCTGCTCTCCCACACAGGCAAATCATCAGGTATCACTCCATCTCACTTGACTGTGGGTGGTCAGCATCTGCTGCAGAGTGCACTGGCAACGCACTACAGACGCGTTGCATCTGCTAAATGTAAGCCAGTGCCGCATTGACTGTTGCACTAGGCTGAGCTCAAACCTAAGTCCTTCTGTAGCCGTCGGATCTGCGAATCTTTGGACAGAATTCTTGTTTGTGTACCTTTAGCGTTTTGTTCTGTAGTACAGGAGCATACATTTACTAGTATTAAGGCAAGAATTTGGACCTGTCCAAATTCAAGGTCAGAGCATTTCCAAAGCCTAGCAGCCGGGTAGCATTTGCTGCAGGATGCAAACAATAATCCAGCAACCTTGCAAAGTTCGATTGTTTCAAACTGTATCAAAATAATCGGCTACGGTTTTCTAATCTCTCGTGTTAGAATATTGAAGCGCGTGCTAACTGATGGTGGTGGTGGTGAGAAGGAGAGCTCTGTGCGTGCTAACATGATGGAATAATGTGCATGTACATGCTCAGGTGTGGTCGACTGTGGTCTTCCGGCTGGACATCTTATGTCCGTACGAGGTATGCTAAGTACAATGTTGTGTATGGTGTGTCCGTTAGAATCAGAAGTACTCGTGGATCACAGTCCTCTCATCCATGGGCTTGCAAGTATGACCATGTGCATGGTGTGTATGTGTGTGTGGTAAAATAAAAGGGATTCACTGGCCAGAAAAAGCCATTTCAATCAGCTGTGTGGTGGATACCAGGCTAGAAAATAGTGGCGGTCAATTCATCAGCCTTGCAAGCTGTTGAATGGTGTAATCCCAGCACAAGTTGCTATGTCTAACATAGCTGTTCGCTATCATCGCTTACACGATGGGCATGTCTGAGGTCTGAGGTGTGTGTATGTGTGTGTGTGTGTGTGTGTGTGTGTGTGTGTGTGTGTGTGTGTGTGTGTGTGTGTGTGTGTGTGTGTGTGTGTGTGTGTGTGTGTGTGGGAAAAAAAAGAAGAAAAAGAAAAAAAATGGAAAAATGAAAAATAGGGATTCACTGGCCAGAAAAAGTCACTTCAATCAGCTGTGTGGTGGATACCAGGCTAAAAATAGTGGCGGTCAATTCATCAGCCTTGCAAGCTGTTGAATGGTGTAATCCCAGCACAAGTTGCTATGTCTAACATAGATGTTCGCTATCATCGCTTCCGCGATGGGCAGGTCTGAGGTGTGTGTGTGTGTGTGTGTGTGTGTGTGTGTGTATGGATACATGTGTGTGTGTGTGTGTGTGTGTGTGTGTGTGTGTGTGTGTGTGTTGGGGGGGGGGGTACATGTATATACTCTTAGTCAGAACCAGTCCAGTGTTATTACAAGTACTAGCCATGCTAGAACATCTCTAGAATGCACATCTCTGGCACATTCATTGTAATGTTCGCTTTTGATTTCCTGCTTTTGAAATGCTGTATTGTGCTCCGGCAGTTCAAGAACGCCTCATGAAACAGCTGAGAGAAGAGGAAACAAAGTCATTGCAGTACGATCATGGACACTCAAGACAATCACAACGGACGCAGCGGACAGGCACCTCAACCATTCATCCAGCCGGTGCACAGGAGCACCCACGTGTTGATGGGAAGCAGAAAAGTCATAGCCAGCATCGTCGTAGTCATGAGGTTACCCGAACCCATGCCCTGGCTACATGCGAAGCAATAACTACGCACTCCAAACACTCCAGCAAAGAGCTTCCAGGCAGTGGAATGACCCATGCCTCCACATCAAGGTTTGACTCAGCTGGTCAGCGAAAACCAGCCACTTCCACAGCGAAGAAGTCTGTTAGCAAGTCTACACCAGCACAACCCAACGGTAGCAGGTTTCACGGCCAGGCTTGGAAGTCTGTAGGAGGCACATCAACGTTCTCTGACGTAACCGGGGCTATCCGACCCGCTAGCCATGTGCCTGTTCCCGCGCCATATCGCCAAGACAACCAGCTCAAGGTGGACAAGACGCGGACGGTAGCTGGGAGAGTGCAATCTCGCCAAGCACAATTGCCATCCAGATCTAGTCCATTGTCGAATCCTCCGGTGAAGCAGTCACCAACTGGGGGAAAGCAGCAGGGCATATCTCAGTCACAGAGCCGGCACGCGTCACAACCTGGTGCATGTGAAGGCGGTGAAGATCATGATGGTAATGCTAGCACAGGGGAGCATGACAGCGGTAGTTGTAGTGATGATGATCATGATGACAGTGGTGATGTCGAGTCTCTGACTTCAACTAGAAGTGCAGCCAGAGCGAAGCTGTCGGCACATACAGATGACCGTGACAGTACTGCTACGGAAGATAGCATGGATGAGTCAAGCGGTGATAGCACTGAAGAGGACAAGGATAGCGATGGATGTGCCGAAGATGAGCTCCATGCCAGTAGTGCGGGTAAACATGGTGGTGGGCATGATAGTGGTCAAGTTGCTGAACCAAATGACGAGCATCCACCTGCTGGAAATATCGAGGAGGCCGATGCTGATGCACCATCAGTGATGCTATCTACCCAAATGCAGGAAAGTTGCACAAAGCCGAACCGCCGAATGAAAGATGCGGCATCCAGCGCTGGTGCAGGTTGTGAAGAGGATTTACCTATAAAATCAAACCAACCTAGTATCAAAGAGACAGACAATGATGCAGCGTCAGCTCAGTCCTTAAATCAGCCGGCAAGTACGGATGCTTCCAATGTGCATTCCAAGCGCAAAGTGGAGAGTGCTGATAGCATCCTCTTGGGCTACAGACAGCAAACAAGCAGCAGCAGTCATACCACAAGACATCACAATGATAGTAGCCACTTTCCAATCCCGCAGAATCTTGACCCGCTTTGGCAGCCGGGCAGAGAGTTTGGCAGATCATACCAGCAGAGAGATGCACTAACCGGCCATCGGGAACATGCTGCTACGAGATCAAGCATGGCGAACCTTGAACCCAGGCATATCCAAGGCTCATCGGATGCCAGTCAGTCTAAAGAGAATGTACTTTTGGCATTCATCAGTACGATCACGCAGGAGATTGTACAGAGAGGCACAACCACACAGACGTAAGTACTGAAGTACCAGTGACTGGACTGAAGTAGTGTAGTCAGACCTCGCTTATCCGGCCCTCTTTTATCCGGATCCCTCGCCATCCGGAAGAAAATAGGTGGTTACAGATGTACAGCATACATGATGCATCCAACAAAACCGGTGTTCGATTACCCGGTTCCCTCGCCAATCCGGATATTTTTGTGGAAAACGGATGTGTGCGGTTATGCGAGGTCTGACTGTACTATGATAGGTTTAGAAATTTGTGTTACGGTTTTGTTCAAATGTATGGAACTATGCGTAGCTTCCTCAATCCAGAATTGTCATCCATGCTATTGCCATCCAGCGGAACCTTCGCTCAGGGTATGCATGGCTTAATTCCTTCCAGCTGCAATTGTAGGACCAGGAAGCAGTTTTTAGATTGGTCCGGTCACACCCTAGCCCGGTTTCATACTCTGTGTATGATATTACGGCTGCACATGACCTCTCAGCAGTAAACACACATTGGCCGGCAAAAGGTTGGTCCGGCCATGGCGAAAGCAACCGGACTGGTTCCGCTGGGTCTGCATTGGACATGGGTGCATCACATTGCCATCGATGATACTTTACACCACACATACACAGTCATACACACACACGCACCTTGGTTGAGCGGAGTAAGGCACTTCGTTGGACCAGCAAACATGTACCATGTCGTCGGATGCAACGGCTATGCAGTGTTTTGGCTTGACAGTGACAAGCTGCTTGTGAGGGTGGAGAAATATCATACAGTACAAGTATATTTTGCATTTTTTTTAAAACAAGTTGCATGTATTGCTTAGCATTTCTGTGATGGTGGCGGAAATTCTGTCATTACGTTCTACCATGTTCACATGTATAATTAATGGTACTTGTTGCAGGGTGATTGAGCAAATATGCCGGCGCCACATGGACAACAACCCATACAACCTACCGCAGGTAAGGAAAAGCATGCGTGGTGATGTGTTCCGGGACAGTCACTCAGTGTTCAGAGTACATGGGCGTCCGGGAGCCGGACCAACTGGCCCAACTTGAGCCAGACCAGTATCCTGGCCGACATATCTATTTGCTCCTCACTCACCCACAGATTGAAATTTACTGAATTTTTTTAATAGGTTATCATGCAAGGGTGGCAAATACCTTAAAAAGCAATATTTAGTATAGCCTTACACTTACTTGTACAACTTGATATAGATGAGTTTCCTGGAATCGGCTCCTGCACAATGCCAGGCTGTTTAGGCTGTTTCCAGCCATGGTTTCACGCAGCCCCTCTTACATGTACTACCGCATTCCAACCGTCTAAGCAACGAGACTGTTTGGGGAGAGAAAGCCGGAGAGATAGATAGATAGAGAGAGAGAGAGAGAGAGAGAGAGAGAGAGAGAGAGAGAGAGAGAGAGAGTTGAGCATGGTTGACATATGCGGCGTGTTTGTGTGTGTCTATGGGTGTGCCTGTGTGTGTGTGTGTGTGTGTGTGTGTGTGTGTGTGTGTGTGTATGTATGTGTGTGTGTGTGCGTGTGTGTCTTTCTGGTTGACATAGGAGGATATGTCAGTGGAGATTGACAAACTACTCGCGTCTCTGACATCATGATAGGAAGATAAATTACAAAATCTACTCAGAAGGTCTGAGTGAGGCCCCAAACCACAATGGCATGATGATGGCATTCTGCTGAACGCAGCATTAGCATCATCGGAGTTGATCAGCATGCATGTGGCTCAATAACACTGTTGCTATGCAGCTCACGATGAAGTGTTCCAGTAGTTAGGTCTCACGGAAGAGTTTCTAACAGTCTGAGATTGATCTAAACTGTGATATTTGTTGTGATCTGATCATGTTCTTGCATGGCTTCCAATGGAAAATAAATGAATGGTAAAAAGCTACTGTAATATATGGCTGGCGTCACCAGATGGCTGGCTCATTTGATAGCATTTGTAACAATACTTTATTCGCTGGTCATGGACTAGGCACAGCCTATGCTTGTGTCGTCATGTTGTGGGCCGATCCTTCCATAAGGAGTTGAGAGCACTGTTACCCCTGAACTTGTACTTGTAGTTACGAACTAAACCCAACAAAATTTCCTATGATGAATGAAGAATACGAAACCAATTGCCTGCATCCGGTTCACTTTTAATTTTTAGTGTCAGCGCTTCATCAGAAACATATCTTGGACATTTCCCAATTGGAGCAGCGCAGTTAAAAATCCACTGCATACAATACATTATAATTTTTGATGCATGGGGTTATGTTATCCACGCATTGACACACATACACACACACGTACACACACACACACACAAAACACACACACACACACACACACATTGGACCCTGGACGCCAATCGCTAGTGCAATGATAGCGTGCGAGCTGAGCAATATGGGGGGTGACGCTTCAAGTCACCCGCCCGGCGAAATGTTCGTCCACACATGCACTGAAAACTCTTCGCTGGCCCTGGCGGAGGAGGACGAGACAACTAACTTTCTCCACTCTCCCCTGCCTTGTGCCACATCATACCAGTCACTTTCCGGTATCCCCGCCACGGCCAGGTCAGATCTAGCGACATCACGCCATCTCTTCCTGGGGCCATGACTGGGGCACCGCGACGGAAGTTCCCCGAAGAGGACCTGCTTGGGGAGACGGCTGGAATCCATCCTGGCAACGTGACCAAGCCAGCGAAGACAATGGCAGAAGCGACCGATGTCTGACACACACACCTTTGACCTTTGACGCCCATCGCCGGAGGCGATGATAGCAATGCTACGGCAGATGCCATAGCAACTTGTGCTGGGATTGCACCATTCAACAGCTTGCAAGGCTGAAGAATTGACCGTCACTATTCAGCCTGGTCTACACCATACAGCTATTTGAAGTGACTTTTTCTGGCCAGTGAATCCCTATTTTTGGTCTTTTTTCTTTTTCTTTTTTCCCGCACACACATCACACCACATACTCCACATACTCCGGCATGCACTGGCTGTTGGTAACCACCCAGGAGAATGAAAGAAAAGTCAGGAAGAGTCTTAGAAAGAGAAGAAAGACGTGTGTGACCATAATCGTCGGGAATCGAACCCGCAACCTATCGATTGGAAATCGCTGCACATACCACTGCACCATATGGGACACACACACACACACACACACACACACACTTGGACTTGCTCACTGCCAAAACTGGTCACGTGGGTCTCCCCGGGAGAGGGGAGAGAGACTCAAAAGGAATCTTGGAAATATGACTCAATTGACCATTGAACCACCCAATGGCCGACACCCCCTGAAATCCCGAAACTAGGGTGGACTTGAAATGATCCCACTCATGGGCTCACCACACCTCAGTAAGTGGGTGAGGACAAAGTGCAGAAAAAGGACTGACGGCATCAGGGTATCCGTCCCGGGATCCAACTGCAGTTACCCCTGCCCCCAGTGAAGGTAATACTTGGTACACACACACACACACACACACACACACACACACACGCACGTGTGCATGTATGTTCACACACAAGTATACACGTACACACGCACCATGCACACACGAGATGTGCCGCACAATCACCATGACCCCTCCCCCCCCCCCCCCCCCTCCGCGCCCCAACGCACACATGACCAGGCCATGAAACAGACAGTTTTTAGCTCACTGCCATGATTTGCAATCACTGAATCAGGTCAGTCTAACGTTAGGCTTAAAGGGGAAGTGCATCGATTTTTCGAGTATGGTCCAGAAGAAAGACAATTTGATATCGGTTCGAATGGCATATCTCTCGCTTCCATACGATAAGCCAAACTTGCCAAATCGCCAATTGTATGCTCACGTTGCCATAGCGACCAGCGCAGTGATGACGTACGAAAGGCTTAGCTCCACCACAGAGAAGGTCGATCACTGCAGAATTTGGTCATTTTCAATTGGTTTATTGTATTCACGAAGTGAAAGAAGGGCTGTGTTCAATGCTGTTAGTGCAGTGAACTGTTTGTTAGTAGTCCTCTCGATTGTGTACTGGGACGTGACACCGATAGGAGAAAGTTGGAGTGCGGAGACACCAGCAGACAAGCGAAAATAGTGACGAACAAAATGCTGAAATCTTGGTTGGGACAAATCAGACGTTCAGCATTTCCCCCAACCAAGGACCATGCCGTTTGCTCTTTCCACTTCCTGAAGATGAATGTGATGCTTCCTGGCGACTCTCCTATCTCTCGTAACATCTTCTGAAGCCAGGTGAGACGACGGGTGGTGGAGATTGACGAATGAAATAATGTCGTAGGTTTGAAAGTTTGCTGAAAATGTCTCAGGAGAGATGGCGAATTCCAAGCATCTTGTCCTGGAGGAAACCATTTCCTAGGCACAGTCAGCCTAGGAAAATGCATGAGAAGGGCGATAAACAGTTCACGGCACTAACAGCATTGAACACAGCACTTCTTTCACATCGTGAATACAATAAGACAATTGAAAATGACCAATTTCTGCAGTGATCGACCTTCTCTGTGGAGGAGCTAAGCCTTTCGTACGTCATCACTGCGCTGGTCGCTATGGCAACGTGAGCATACAATTGGCGATTTGGCAAGTTTGGCTTATCGTATGGAAGCGAGAGATATGCCATTCGAACCGATATCAAATTGTCTTTCTTCTGGACCCTACTCGAAAAATCGATGCACTTCCCCTTTAACTAGTCGCCTACCGGTATGTCTATGTCTATGTCTATGATCGATGGAGCTTGCCTGCCGTCGACAGCAAAGTAAGTAATCAGTTAGTTACCAGTACATGTACTAGTTTGAAGTACCGACCTTACATGTTGCCCAGCACTACAATCTACCCCCTTTCCTTTTTTTCAATCTACCCCCTCCTGTGGCACGGGGATATCTGGTACTAAGCCACAAGTGCAGATCAAAGGCCATGGGCCGGGCGAATGACCGGTCGACCCTGCTACTGAGTGCTAGCTGGCCTGGCCTGGTCCTTGGCTTTGTGACATCGTGGTGGGCTCATCAGACCTTTTTTCCCCTCTTCCACCCTGTTTCAACTCCCACAAAACAAAACTGTCAGTTTCGACGTCATGACATGCATGTCACCAAAGAAAGATCCAGGCCATACCAGCTTGAACTGTGATGACTGACCCTGTAGATCTACTATTTACTTGATTGAATGGATTTCTTGCGGAGTGGAAAGGACAAACTGCTCACTACTACTAGTATCTCACTACCTGTACTCTTTTGCTAGCCGTCCCGCGTCCGCGCGCGTACCGTCGGGCGCACACCAGCTAGTGTCAGCAAATCAAACAGGGACTGGGTAGCAATATCCGTCTTTTGTTACTTGTACTTCGTAGTTTTGTTCGATTGGGTCTGCTAGCAATGGCCGAGGAGAAGAAACGGGCAGTGAATGCGCCTGGTGGCACACTGCTTGGTCTGGCACAGGCAGACAGCAAAAAGACTCCAAAACGTAAGGCAGAATGGTCGGTAGTGCACAAACTAGCTACACTTTCGTCGTGCCTGTTCATTGCACGTCCCTATTATATTATCCAAGTACCCACCCAACAGTTTCACTGACTTTATCTAGTCTTTATGTTGATGGGTTGGTTAGTTATCTAACCGGCGACGGTTATCAGGTTATGTGCGCTCCCTTCATTAGGCCATAGGTGCCATAAAAATGCTGAAATAATGATGGCAAATGCAATGCAGGTAATGATTTATGTACAATGTCTTGTGTATGTGCTAGCTAAACAATACGTGTCCATGTATGCTGAGTGGCAACGGCACATGCACCTAGCAGGTGCAGGACATAATTATCATGTACTTGAAGTACATGTACCCCCGTCACGGGGCTATAGCAGGCGCGTGCCCCGGTGCCCTTCAAGGGGGGGGGGGGGTTCCGGGGCCTCCCCCGGGGAAAATTTTCAAAAAATGAAGCAAAATCCTGCATTTTGAGCGAAAAAAGGGGGGTTCCGGGAACCCATACGGGGCACACGCCTGTATAGTATAGCGGCATGGACACCGAGGCTGTGACCTGAAATACTTGCCGTACATGACATGATGTCAAATACATTGTATTGTGTCTTTTTATCATTGCTGAAAAAGGTGCCAAGATCCCTCTTCCTTCGTTCGAGGAGATCGTCGGCATTGCAGAGTCGTTGATGGAAGAGTTTCCCCCGGAGTTTGTCAACGCAGACTTCTGGGCAGATAGATATCTGAGCTACTTCAAGCTGGAGCTGTCACGACGCATAGTCAGTGCTATGGATCAGGGCTTGGTCTCATGTAAGTTTAGAAAGGTCTAGTATTCAATTTCTTCAGCAGCCGTCAAATGGCACTTCTTAGAATCTCATCTATTAGCTCTGACTGGGCAGATCTGTGCATTGTATTGGATAGGGACACACACGTGTACAGTCATGTACTGTCAGTTTTGAAGCTGTATAGTCAAGGAAGAGAAACAATGGCAAGAATCTGGGAGGTCGTAACCCCATTGTCATACGTCTGCCCTTTCCGAGTCATCATTTGGTTTTAAGGACACCAGTGGTGCGCTTGCGAAATCCAGCAGCTCATGAGTAAGGCCGAATCCCACCCAGTGCACAGTCCGGCAATGTTCAAAAAGACTGCTTTTAGCTACATGTATAAATTGTTGTGTTACAATGTGTAGGTACAAGTGGTGTTAGTGATGACCATGCAGGAACCGTGCCACCCCGTCTAGGTGGCATTGAGAAGGAGCTCCTTGATCTTATGATGGTTGAGGATGGCAGTGGGCTTAGCCGTTTATTGATCCGCTTCCTGGATGTGGGTGGGCAGACTAGTGGAACAAGTAAGTCCGCCACTGCATCACCAATCCGTATCATCCGATGTATTTGCACTGCTCTCCGTGCTCGATAGGGAGGTACTTTTTGCCTGGCTGGTACACGACGAATATGAATGGTGGTTGACACTACACGCATACACTTTATTGTCACTTGGATTCATTTGCACACTGTGAAATCGGTTGAATACCAGAAGCTTAACATTCATACTATGGCCACAGTCCAAGTGAACAGTGGTATCATTGATAGTGACACACAACTGTGAGAGTGAAGGGCAACTAGTGTGTGTATGCCATGAATTGAAGCTGTTGCTACACAGTGCCTGCTAAGGATTTCTGCATGACGAAAAGCACTGAAGGCATTGTCTGTTGATGATTCATCATTCCACTATGCCGGTGCAGGAGCTATTCTTGATCAAGTCGAATTGGTGCATGGTTTCATGCAGTGCGGTGGCCTCTGGTTTCTACAAGAACAGCTTGGAAAGTTATCTCCCGATATTCCTAGACTGGGCAGCATACTTCGGGTAAACAATGCGTGTCACGTTGTACCGTCTGTAATAATTGCTATGACTACATGTATGTGGGCCGGAACTCAGGGTATGTCTACGGCACTGTCGGGTGCCGAAGAACTGGGGGGGGGGGGGGGGGGGGCCTAGGCCGTTATTACATTCATGAACTACAGTCTATGCACAGTTGAGTCTGTGTGTACACATTGGTATACTGTCCTTGGTGAAATCCTAGCCAGTTTGTTCTTCAGCACCCGGCAGTACTGTAGTCCAACAGTCCCTTGAATACGGCCCTACCTAGATATCTTCCCTTATTAAGGAGTCTATGGGTTCCCTCTGACACGTGTTCATGATGTGGGACTGATCTTTCTTTATCATCAATCTCCCGGATTTGGCTCATGCCAAGCATGTACTATTCTTTAGGACAAATTCCAGTTCCCAAGAAGGATGTGCTGTGCAAAGCATAGGCTGTGGGCACTTGGTCGTTTATGTGGTGCTGTTGATAGGCTATGCCGGGGTACTTGGTCGGTTATGTCGTGCAGTTGCTGCTCACTCGTTTCATGATACATGATACAGGATACACGGCGTGCAGTTGATATTGTCACTAATCCAATATCATAATGTACATGATGGTGGATCCTGATGCAAGGAAAGCAGCCCAAGGCCCAATGAAGCCTTGAACAACTGGTCATGCAGATGGATGACACGTTTGTTTTTCGTCTTCGTTTTTTTCCTTCAGCTCATTGCCTCTTTTGCCTTGGACGTACAGTGTAAGGTGATGATGGAGTCTGGTGACATTGCACACTTGATTGCTAAGCTCAGAGGCCATGCCGAGGAAGTGGCATTCTTTGCACATCACCAATCGCTGCAGGTATAACATTTAATCTATGTGAATTTGATATGTGAAAAGAATTCGGGTGGACACACCCATTCCCATAGCGCTGCACATCACATCCGAACCAGTTCCGTTATTTTTACAACGTTTCGGCACTTGGCCATCATCAGGTAATAGCAATGAGTCTTCAATTCATTGCTATTACCTGACGATGGCCAAGTGCCGAAACGTTGTAAAAATAACGGAACTGGTTCGGATGTGATGTGCAGCGCTATGGGAATGGGTGTGTCCACCCGGATTCTTTTCACAGATGAAGCTGCAGGAAGCCTCAGCCCTTCTTCAAACTGGATTTGATATCTTTTGAAATTAACTACGCCACCCCCACAGTCTAAGATGCTACCTGCAATCGAGCCTCTGTACATTGAAATATGTGAAGGTGCCCAGCCAACACATACACATGACACTTGCATGCCCATCTGTCCAAATGCGAACAGTGAATGTATTGTACAGCATGCCGCGGAAACTATCTGAAATGTGTGTAATACGTAGCCATTATTACACTCAAAGGACTGCTGTCTCCGCGTCGCTTGTTTAGAAACTCAAGTGTATTGATTAAGTCACAAGTGAAGAATGAGCCAGTTTTCTACCCCGTCTCACACCTGCAAATATTTGTACGTGGAAATACTTTTAGCAACGACGATGTCCTTTGTACTGAATTATGCTCTGCTGATCTCTTGCTGGTTCTAGTCCCTGACCGAGGCTTGCTGATTAGTGCCATGTGCATGTGTTTGTATGTTCCTCCGCGTGTTCTCCATTGGACAGAAGTGTCTTCTGCGCGGCCACAGTGTCCCTGATTCAGTGGGTAAGAAATCACTTGTAGTCCTGGAGCCAGGTCCAGAAATCTGACAGTGTCATTTGACACCTCGTCCAGGAAAGATTTGACTTCAAATTCGGAAAGGCGGACCAACTATAGGAATTTTGGAGAAAACTAGAAGTTCCCAATGTTGTCCGTTTGGAAGTTATGAGCTATTTCCAAATTGCTTAGGTTACTATGGTAACCTGTGTGCAATTAGCCGTTTCTGAGGCAAAGCCGATACAATTTGGGAGAAAAAAGTTACCTTGTTGGAAGGCGAGCTCTTTCCAAGACTGTTATTGAAAACCAGAAGTTTATAGGACTGTCGGCTTCCTTGTCACAGGAATTTCTCGAATTTCTACGGTTACCGCGGTAACGTGTATGCAATTAGCCACTTCTAAGCCAAAATCAGTGCATTTCTCCCCTGTAGGCAGGTGGAAAGCAGAGAATAGTTATACTATTGTGGCTTAGAGGTCTATTGGGCTGTTTCATGCCTGGTTTGTAGAGACTGGGCTCCTCTCCCCTCTAACACTACCGGGATTGCATTGACCTGGCCATTGTTTCCTCCCTTCCTTCACATAATACAATGTACATGTACATCATACGGTACTGTACATGTAGTACCCAGACAGCGGTGTGCTATGTTGACAGGAATGGTCACCATGATCCACTAGTACTAGTACTTTCCACCCAATTCACATTTTCTTTTTATGGAACAATGTCATGCAGGCTGTCCAATCGACACGTACATGTACATGTACATGTTTAGGAAGCACGGTATTGCCCATGAAATACAGTCATGTACATGTACATGTAGACCGGGGCGGGGGCCTACGCCAAGACCTGGAAGGACAATTTTGATCAACGAAATGGCGAATAGACAAACAACTGCCCTAACCGCAACATACATGATGTACAACAAACTCCGCCACATATTCCGTGCTCATATGTCATGCTTCAGCAACTCACAGCAAGCATTTACACAGGAAGGTATGGTCACATCTCTCTGATCAAGCAACAGTTTCAAAACAGTGCCGGACGGACCCCATGGGGCATGGGGCAGTGACCTCTCCTGCTATCTAGCCGAGCCACTATGAATTCTACACCTAGTAGTAGTACCAAGAGTGTATAACCGGGGTGGGGGTTATAACTCTTGCTAGTACCTGTACCGGTACATGTGGCATCATTTCCAGCACTCACAGAATAGATACATGTAAATGTACATGTACATGTACGTGTGCAGCAGTTGTTCACCATCCAACTCGGCTACAAGTGATGCAAATACAGTACAGTACCTGATTGTTAGATAGGAATACATACATTATAATTGACATGCACATGTACTCGACTTGTTACACCAGCCTCACCTTCTATTCTCTTTTACATGCACTACTAATACTATACGATGCGCTGTATTCATGTATTGTTCCCACACACTTTCGAGGCTGACCTTAGATAGCACACTGGAGACCTTTTGATGCATTTCACTTTCAGCCGCCCTTTTAGTTATCTACACTAACAGCTGTACATACATCCTAATGCCCCTTTCAACAGTTGTCCTCCTGGTATTATTGCACACCTACATGTACATGTATACGATGTATATATAGTTCTTCCTCTAACGTATTCCTCTTGCACAGGTGCCATGTCCCGACCTTTCCCATTCTTCTGCCCACACAATCATGTACCTTGTAGTTTGACCTTTCTTCTTACTTCTCTCTGCTCTACGTATCCCCTGACCATAAGCTAGCTTACTTACTCACCCTATAAAAGCTACTGTCTTTCTAGTTTCCTAGGGATTAGTTTCTTGCCGATTAAGACCATTTCTCCGCAGATCAGTTCCCTGTACATGTATATTAGTTTCATGCTAGATTTAATACAGTGTATTACCTGAGAACTCTTTCTCTCTCTCGGAATAAGTGTGCAATTCTGTATGATAACCATTATCCATTACTGTAACCGCTTGCTCTACCGACTGAGCAAAACCGGGACTTAACATGCCACAGATTATTCCATGTACATCGAACACCCTGGATGGTTTCACCTGTATACAATCATGTAAATGTGGAGACAAGTATGGCCATAATAATTACTGACTACTCTCAACTCCTACAAGCCATATCTCTTGCCAATTGTCAACGTATTGGAGAAAATTGTTGATCGGCAGGTTGTGGAGTTCTTAGTGACAATAGTGAGGTTTCTGCCCTGCCATGGACCAGTTTGCATACTCCGATCTCTCTCGTCTTCTAAGTCCTGACATCTCCGTGTGACATGAGAAGGGAACTTGGTGTGTTTGGTTGAACGACTATACATGTGCATGAAGTACATGTATACATGTAATTTAAAAAGCACACCAGTAACAACAACAATAACTATAATGAATACCTCAACAGTGTCCTGGACATGTACTTCAGTACATTGTAGAATGTACATGTACACCTCACAGTACTGGCCTCTTTTACGGGCAAGATGATTCTTTGGATGTGAAAAAATACGTGTAGTCATGTACATGTACATGACAAAACATACAATGTAGTTTGGTTGCCAGCATGTTACAAGCTACGTGTAGACGGAGGATGCACTGAGTCTGTGTTCGAAAACAGTGCTCCTTATGACCTTACTACAACCTCCACGGTTGGCATAGCCCTGGTCTTGCGACCATTTGAACTATAATGGGGGCTAGCCCCAGTTCTAATATATGCTAGGGAATATGCTAGGGAATTGTTTGAGTCTTCTTGTTTTTGTTTTTGCTATCAGTTGTGTTTCCTTGCTCGTTCTTGGATGTCAGTCCTGCCTAAATCCTCTTGATCCTTTGTGTGGATCCCGGCACTAAATAGAGAGGGGTCCAGTCTCTACAAACCAGGCTTACAACAGCCCTATAGACCTCTAAGCCACATTATTATAACTATTCTCTGCTTTCCACCTGCCTACAGGGGAGAAAATGCACTGATTTTGGCTTAGAAGTGGCTAATTGCATACACGTTACCGCGGCGACCGTAGAAATTCGAGAAATTCCTGTGACAAGGAAACCGACAGTCCTATAAACTTCTAGTTTTCAATAACAGTCTTGGAAAGAGCTCGCCTTCCAACAAGGTAACTTTTTTCTCCAAAATTGTATCGGCTTTGCCTCAGAAACGGCTAATTGCACACAGGTTACCATAGTAACCTAAGCAATTTGGAAATAGCTCATAACTTCCAAACGGACAACATTGGGAACTTCTAGTTTTCTCCAAAATTCCTATAGTTGGTCCGCCTCTCCGAATTTGAAGTCAAATCTTTCCTGGACGAGGTGTCAAATGCAACTCCTCAATAAAGCGACTTTTTCGGACTTGGCCCCAGCACTATTGGACTGCGTGCAATGAAGAAAAGAAACCTGTGTCTGTGATTGTTCAGTGTTTGAAATTATATAGTCTTATGGTGGTGTTGCTGTCGTCATAGTCTCTCTGGTCTTGCTTCGGCCTGATCTTGTGGAGGCTGTGTCAGATTGATTTAAACACGGGATCAACTGCAGCATGTTGTCATATTTACTTGGTGTAGTAAGTCCGGGATCTGCTACAGATAGACCATGACAGGCAGTATTGTCTTCTCTGCTATTTGTGTCTGTCACTGATTGAGCAGCAAGCTCAACATCACTGATGATAGCGCTGGCTATGAGCGATGACAATCGTAAGTTCTCTGATCGCGATATAACGTTACGTTGTCCTGTTTCTGAGCATACACGAGTGTATACACACCCAGACATTACCCTCCCCGCTGGTGTTATTGACTTATTGTGCTTGTGAACAAGACGTTCGTCAGTAAGCAGTGTGGAATGTCAATTCCGTGCACAATTATTTAGTCCTGACCTTGCTACTGTAAAAGCAGAAATTTCCCGCGGTGTTTTATTTTCGGTAACTTCGGTGCGCACGATTTTTACCTAAAATAAAACGCAACCGAAAATTTCGGTACTATTACTAGTAGTACACTTACCTTGAAAATGGGTTTACCAAAAATGTCCCTCCACCAAACCGCCGATTTTGGAGAATACAGACAAAATTACACAACCGAAAATTTCTGCTTTTACAGTACTTATATGCTACGGCTATGTACATAGTGCTTAGCTGAAACAGATACAGGCAGCGATATGAACATTTTCGTGTGGATGTTTACCTTTGTGAATTTCATGTAACACATGGTTTCAGCAACCACCTAAAAAGTCTACGGTGGTCTCTGAACACAGGTGGGTTTTGAAGCCAATGTGATGCCTTCCGATTCAACTCGGCGATTGGTAAAAAAAACCCGGTTGCCATACAAGCCAAGTGGTATCTAAAAGCTGTCATTGTTTTCAAATAAGGTTTCACGTAAATTGTGACGTAATACTAGTACATGTTCACTGTACCGGTTGTTCAGATCTTACCAATGGTTTTTAAAGCGGTGGCTACTGCTTGAGATTCTTGCTGCGGCTAGATGTAATTTGCTCCTCTTTGTGGTTGTATACTGGCTGTCTCCCAGATATTCGGAATCAACTGTTGACTTGTGTAACACCTGCCACCAATGGCCTAGTGCCTATCCTCCTCAGGTCCAAGGTACTATCTATGTCTGAGTAGCACTTAGGGAAAAATTGCTTGACACCAGTACTGGTACGCTACTGATCCTGCTAAGCAGCCGAGCCCTTGGCAAGCCAAACCAAGGGCAGTAGAGCCCTTACCAACCAAACCAAGGGCAGTAGAGCCCTTACCAAGCCAAACCAAGAGCAGTACAGTAGAGCCCTTACCAAGCCAAACCAGGGCCAGTAGAGCCCTTACCAAGCCAACCAAGGGCAGTAGCCCACACCATCACTAAATTGTTTTTCTATGCCGACAGTATGCCAGAACACTTCGTTGACGAAATGAAAAGGAGTTAACATTTAGCACAAAATATGAAAAACTATATTGTTGTTTTACAGGACATGTTTTAATGAGGGAAATTGTGGATGTTTCAATAAGGAAAATTGTACATGAAATTCTGAAGCTGTGTGAAGTGCCGTTCAGAATCGCGAGGAAGTGTAGTAAAATGAATTTGAGCAGCCTCAAATATCAATGCAGAAAAGCAACAAGAATGAGAAGTACGTCTTGGTTTTGTTTTCAAACCTTGTCAGATTACAAGATGTTAATGCCCCTTAACATATGCAGGTGTGCTGTGTGTAGTATGTGTACATGTGCTTGTCGATTCTATTACTACATTGTGTGTGTGCGTGTGTGCGTGTGTGTGTGTGTGTGTGTGTGTGTGTGTGTGTGTGTGTGTGTGTGTGTGTGTGTGTGTGTGTGTGTGTGTGTGTGTGTGTGTGATGATGTAGTCTGCAGAAGATCTCTGGCTGGAGTCTTGTGGACGAGTGGTGGATCACAGCCGAGCTGCTGGTGTGGCATGCTCCACTCTCGCATCATCATCCGATCCCGGCCAGACTACTAGCACTAGCACCACTACTCCTGCTGCTGCCGGTGCTGCAGCTGGTACAGCTACATCCGCAGCTGCAGGAGTAGAAGCATCACATGATCAAGGTGGGACAGAACCCGCTACTACCGCTCCCAGTGCTCAGTCAAGCAGTGACCTGGCCGGCACCAGCTCACAGCAGGCTGAAAGTGCTAAGCAGCTAATCGAAGAGGAATGCGACCAGCAGATCACCACTACCCTACAGAATTGCCTGCGGATGCTAGCTGGACGGTGTGCTGCATGGCAGAACATGCAGGTGAGTGTAAGGCATTGCAGTGGCTATTTTCCTGATGACAGCCGGAAGGAAACCTTGTGATCTGAATCTAGTTGCATCTTTGTGATAGGGATTGTGTGAGTTTGTACTCTTTTCTTTCACACACAGCAATAATGTTACTAACTTCATTACTCCGAGTCAAACAACTGTTTCCGAAAGGTTATTGACCCACTCTCTTTTCTTTCTGTTGCTATTTTCTCTTCTTCTTCTTTTGCACTTGTGCTTTTGCCGGTGTGCTTGTGCACTGCACTGATGTAGAAATCGAGCGCTTCCCGTGCTGAGCCAGACTTATCTGGTGACATAGACAAGCTGTTCTCGCACAGTGTACTGAGCATACAGGTGCAGATGCCAGGTGTCCTTCTCACTTCTTGCTATTCGAAATATCGCAAGTTTGCCATCAAGGCCACCGAGATGCTACTGGAAGACTCAAAGCTCGGGGAGCTGTCCCTGTTCACACGCCTGCCGGAGTGGACAATGCTGAAAGAAAGCATAGCAAGCTGTGTGTGCTCAGCTGATCAAGACCTTGCAAAAGCAGCAAGACACTTTGTTGCTAAACACGTGAGTTCTCTTCCTTGCTTCCTATTGATGAGATGACCGCTTGAAAATCCGACGAGGCCTCTTGCACCACTAGTCTGTCCACAGACTTGATACAAATGTTGTTACTTTGTCACTTCTGCATAAGCAGCACCATTCCCTCACTTGTTGATAGAACCATTGTACCAATATTGAAGAGAAGGGGCGCAAAAGCATTATCAGATCTTCCAGTGACTTCTGTGTTACGCCAGCTTATTGCAAGTGTATGTATTAGTGCCAAAGGAGTGCATACCAGAAGATGAAACTGCTTTCACTGCTGCTGCGGAGTACTAGTGGCTCAGGAATTAATGCTGGTAAGCTCAGTGGCAAGCCTGCAATTGATGCCTCTTCTTGTTCCAATACTGCAACTGTATATTGTTCTGCACAGGGACTGCAAACACCCAGCCTGAAAAACATCTGCCTGCTACGCGTCTCGGAGAGCGTGATGCAGCTCCAGTCCGTGCTTCATACCATTCCACCAGTATTTCTCAAGCGGCTGCGGCCATGTGTGGTGTGATTCACAGTGGTGAATAAATCGGTTCCCATCGTGACCTAGCACATGCACAGCCTATGTACACTGTACTGTACTGTAGAGTTCAAGGTGACCTACGGAATAGTAGGGCAGTGATTAGAATCCTGTTGAGACAGAGTAGAGATAGACTGCTGGTGACTGGAGCTGGCGTGTGCCATCACTTTGCCTGCGGCAGTTTCAAGTTTTAACTGAACACAACTACCTTGCACTGCATCCCTATTCAAAGCATACTGTTTCATTTTCATCTCATAATCCTATAATCTTTAATACGCTTTCGGTGTCTATTTACTGTAAAGTAAAATCCGAGTGATTTCAGGCAGTGATGTTGAAAACCACCGTCAGTTATCTAGAAAAATCGGAAACTCTCTGAAGCAGGGTTCTATTTCAAATCTGCTGTTCATCCACAAGTATGCTGTTATGTTTTGCATCAGTTCTATTCCAAACTACATTAGACATTGAAAAGAGCGGCCGGAAAGCGCAGTTGTGGTGGTTCATGGGAAAAAATACATTAGCAACCCGTGATTCACTAGTTGAGCAATCATTAGCACTAGCAATCATTGTAGTAATTATATCTTCGAAAAATGACCATTGTTCAGTCACACCACGACTCCACTATGCAGCAGTCTCGGCCGACCTATTCCACTTGCACATCACCATCAAAACAATGACAATTCCGTTGAATTTTGAATGAAGACGAAAAATTTCATCAACGTAATGTAGAAAAATCACAACGATGTTTAGCTCAAGTTTAAAATATTCTAACCATTTCAATTTTTTAATTCTGACTCCTCCAATCCCCTAATCTATTCGAATCATTCTTTCACTCCAAGCTCCCTCATGTCTACTCTCATGTACCCATCCATCACTTTTATATTGAAAAAAAAAGAAAGAAAGCTTCTCCTCTTGTTGTTTTCTGTGAGCAAGTCGGACTCAGCAGATAATGTTGTTGGGAAGACAAGTCAAGATTCTAGCCAAAGGAGGGTAGTAAAGTGTGCAGTACCCTCCTTGGAACTACAGCCACACTCCTCCTCGGCAGAATGTAGAACTGAGTGAAACGCCAGTGGCTGTGCAACGCCTGCATGCATGTGGCATAGGCCATAATATTATAACAAGCTGCACTCGATGCGCTGCCGAGGTACTAGGTGCTGGATATCATATCCGGGCTGGACCATGAGCATACTAGTATGTTGTTGTTTTTTTTTGTTTTTTTACCAAGGCCACAGCTTCCAATCATGACATGCAAAGCAGCGGTGCAGCCGCATCGCAGGCATGCATTGTGGACGTGGTGACGGGGTCTGATGTGCTCCACCGACCTAGGGTCTCGGCTTCACTGCACATGCAGAGTTAGTGTTCAAAAATACTACTACACTAACAGTATGAAGTACTCTGCATCCCAGCGTACACTGTGAATTTAAAGGCATGTTAGGCCACGCGTTTTTATTTCTATGTTTCTCGTCACCCGCGCGCATATGATTTAGGAGTCTGGAAGAAAAAAAGAAAAAAACTGTGCTGCAGTGACTGTGCATGTGGGGGCCAGCACACTCATGCACATGTACATAATGTGGCCTGGCCAGCGTGACACATGATGCAGGGACGGCATTTTTGTGCGCAATCTAGCGGCACATGCACAGATTGTGACAGAAGCTCCTACCACCTACTAGTTGCTAACTATGGATGCTATTTTGCATGGTGTATTGGTGGATTTTAGTGTGAACAAAGGTCTAATAATTATACTTTTTTTATTTTACGGTCATTTTTTTTCCACCTCTCGCATACGTTTTTAGATTTTCAGGTGACGAGAAACATAGAAATAAAAACGTGTGGCCTTACACACTTCTACTCAGTCTTTACCTAGCTGATCCTTCTGCAGATTTCCACTAGCTAGAACCCTAGCTGCTAGTGTTCCCTCGAGATTCCTCATACGTCCAGCAGTGATTTCATTAGAGGTATGGTGGTTGGCCCACGGTATTCATGCACAGACAAATAAATTGAAGCTGAGAAGTGGTATCAGTTCTTGCAATGATTCTGAAGCTAGTCATAATCAGAAATTCAACAGAGAAATCGGTGAAGGCTAGGACAAAGAAAACCTTCTACCTGTCAAAAGAGCGTTAATTTGGAGCTCTGCATGCCATGCAGTACATTAAACATAATAACTATAAAATAAGGTTTGCAATGAAAGCACACCAGACCGCACAACTTCTAGCCGCGTAGCCGACGTGTTTTTAACAGAATTGTATACTTTACATGTACAGTATGTAATCAACAACAGGAACGCAGTGGAAAAATATCACACGTTGCGTCATCCACTCACATTCCTACATTAGCGAGCGCACACGTTCGGTGACAAGCTGTGCAATGTCCAATCCGGCAAACGCCTTGACTGCCGTCAGTGCAATACCAGCCATAGCGGAGTATGCCAAAACACGTGTTATGAGAATGCTCTGGCGAAATGGAGCTTCTCTGGAATAGGCAAACCAATGGCACACATGGCAATCTTCCTGTAACTGGGATATGCCAACGGCACGGATAACCTGTCCCCGGGGAAAATTGCGATTCCGCGGCCGCGTTTTTTTCCGCGTTTTTTGCGATTTTTTAAAAGACCACGTTTTCCGCGATTTTCCCGCGTTTTTTGAACTTTTTTGTTGCACTACACGTACACACAGTGCACTGTTGTTCGGTCAGCAACATCTCATCGTGGCGGCTTTTTACTCAAATATGACGAGTGCAAATATGACGAGACTCCAGAGACTTGTAACTGATTGATTTCACTACATACTCACTGAAAATTGCCGCACATCAATATTATTCACCGCAAATTATGCCATATTATGCCGCGTTTCCCCCCCCCCGCGTTTTTTTGCGATTTTTCCGCAATTTTCCCCGGGGATAGTATAACATTCTTCCAGTAACTGGTACTATGCCAATGGCACCAACACCACAAACAGGTTCACCATGAACACTCGAACAAAATTATAAGGTACGATGTAGCACCCTATGAATACAGTCATCCGGAGCCGAAAACATGCATGTACACAACAACGACGACAACAAGAACAAAACTTTTTTGGCGTCAAGCAAACTTTTTACAGACAAGAGGTGACTGGTGCGTTTAGGCAGGAACAAAGTGCAAGCTGTGTCTGCACAAACATAACGTTATTTTAGACAATGATCCTTACCTGGCCTTGGCAGCTTTGCAGTATTCTAAGAAATATTGATGGCGCGTGTAGACATAGAGCAGGCCAAGGACAAGCGAGATAGCTGTACGCAATACGTCGTGTACACAACACAAGTGCAGCAATGTAAACAACCATAAACTAACTCTCAAAAATGATATCAAAATAAGATTCCAAACAAGTGGTGCTTAATTTCATACACAGCAGACAACCATAAACAACATTAAAAGAAGCCTTTACTCGCTAGCTTCCTAGACTTGTAGAATAACGTAATAAAACGAGAATCAAATTGTTTTCTCGCAGCATGGTCTCTTTCTTCACTCCCCTCCCATATCTCTCTCACACGCACACACACACTTTCTTCTTTCACTTACCTTGATGGCAAAATAGACTATTGACCCAGATGCAGGACAAGAACAGTGGGAGGAACTCAACACAATTCATGCTATACACACACACACAGACAGACAGACGGACACATACATACATCCACAAACATGCCCACACACACACACATGGACATGCACACATAAACCATTTCAAACATTCGAGTCAGGAATAAAACAACAAACCAAGAAAATTCTCCAGCTTAATGACATGACATTTCAAAGCTGACGTTTAGGTCCAGCGTACTCTAAAACCGCGAATTCATTCTACATGAATGCACTCCCCCAAACTAGAAAGCACAAAAACCTTCAAAGTGCTGCATGCGTACGAGGCAGTTGTAGTAACTAGGGAGACCCTTGTATTTTTTAAGTGATCTGTGGTGTCTACAACTCGCCGCTGAATAGCTGTCGCAGCCTAGACCTGCTAACCCCTCAACGCAGCCCATTCCAACGTTGCCATATTGAAGTGTGCACAAAACTGCCCTGCTCTTACTCCGAGGGCGGCTGGACCAGGCAGCCTGGGTGCGTAATGCACATTACTTCATGAGGAGGCCGTCGCTGGTTACTTCAAGTAATTCCCAGTCAATACAGTAAATTGTGGATATAACGTGCCCCTTTGATTTTCGATAATTTATCACTATATCCGGTGCATCACTATCTCTTAATTTGCTAAATCCTATATATAGGATTTTGGTCATATTTTTCAACTCAAAATGGGTGTGGCACGAGAAAAGCAAAAAGTATGTGACCAATTCTTCCTTGCTAGGTCTTAGTAGATATCGAGAGTTGAATAAGATAATTTTTTCAAACACTAACATCTCAGGCTCATCTCCTTGCTCAATATTACTAAGGCCTGTGCCCTATTTTTCGAATCCTATATATAGGATTTGAGATTTTATTGGACCTTGTTTTATCCTTAAAACTGGTAGTTTCATGACGGCATGTGCGATATGTCGTCATGAAACCACCCCGTGCCACACCTGCAATGTTCTTCTGCACATTCACTGCTTCAGTCCTTTCCATGACAGCAGCTGAACAATTATGCTCAAATTTCCAATTATTGCTGAAAATGGGTATTCATAAGAAATATTATCGCCCTATGAATCTAAAATGTAAACATTCATGCCTCAAACATATTTACAACTTCCATGAAAACCAGTATGTCATTATTATTGGTCGTGATGACCAATAACAACGGCATAAAAGGCACACATTTTCAAATCCTATATATGGGATTTTCGGCCAGCAAATTAAGAGATAGCCGATTTGCATGTATGACTGACACATGGCACATGACTGTGCATGAAATGATGCGTACACGCTCGAAAAAGCATGAAAAGCAGCCACGTGTACATGTGGCTGCTTACAGCATACAGGGAAGAATTTTCTCTCAATCACGTCTGCTGCCAGATGCATCCAGGCAAAACTGGATCAGTTTTGGAAGAAATAAACTAAATTTGAAGAACAATTGTTTTGTGATCATCACTCTTGATCAGTACCGTAAAGTACCGCCAGAGCGCCCCACCATCTCATCCTTTCGTGGTCGTATTGTGGAGGTGGTCTGCTGTCTGTAGGTCATACGACATGAACCTTGTACACATATTGCACGTTTTGCAGTCAATCCGTACCTTCAAGAGGACACAAGCTCCACACAAAAACCTGCCAAGTGTGACCTTAGTACACTATGATTCTCACATCGTACACACTTCGTTGCACTCTGCCATACGATTTTCCTTTCTCTGGCTGTAAAATCAAGGTGGGGCGCTCTCGCGAGACGGGGCGCTCTGGCGGTACTTTACGGTATATACGATATTTTCCTGTGCATTTGATATGGTTTGCTTCCTGAAGCCCATCACAATAAGCGATATATCGGTATAGGCGATAATAGTGTGTATAGTGATATTTTAGCTGTATTTTTTGTGATTTGATTTTGATTTTGGCGAGTTCGATCATTATAGCCGGTATATCGTTACACCCGGTCACTTTATAAACGATACTCACTGTACCACCATTTGCTGCGGCGTCTGTCTCATAAGAAGGACCCACATAGCCCAAAGCGCCTCATTTGGAGAATGCTTACAGCGGCGGATGGACTTGTGGCAGAATGGTGATATCGAGAGCCTCCTTCACGAATGCCGTACAATCCAGAGCCAGATGGAGGATGGTAAAACACGCAGTGCCCACGGAAGCCAAAGTACTGCTCAGCTATTTTCGCAGAAAATCACCAACGGCAAACTGCGCGATGCTCTGCGTCTGTTAGATGAGGGCACTGGCGGAGGTGTACTTCACTTGGACGAGCGCATCAACGACCAGCCTGTGCGGGACATCCTAGCCAGCAAACACCCTGCAGCAGCCCCGCTTCAAGCCAGTGCAATCATCGCAGACCCGCTGCCAACTCCTCCTCACCCAGTGCGGTTTGCTTCAATAAACACGTGAGACAGTCCGCAAAGCGGCTTTACACACCCGTGGAGCTGCTGGCCCCTCAGGAGTCGATGCCGATTGCTGGCGACACATGTGCACCTCCTTCAAAGATGCCTCTGACACCCTATGCGACGCTATCATGGCTTGTGCCCAGCGGCTCGCTACAACTTATGTGGATCCGGCATGTCTCAACGCCTATGTAGCCTGTCGCCTCATCCCTCTGGACAAACAGCCTGGTGTGCGGCCCATTGGCATAGGTGAGGTCCTTCGTCGCATAATTGGAAAAGCCATCCTTGCTGTCATTGGCGGAGACGTCCAAAAGGCCGCGGGAAGTCTTCAGTTGTGTGCTGGGCAGGAATGCGGGATCGAGGCCGCAGTTCACGCCATGCGACAAGTCTTCAACAGCAGCGAGTCTGAGTGTGTTCTCCTTGCGGATGCAACCACTGCCTTCAATAGCATCAACAGGGAAGTGTGCCTCCGCAATGTACAGCACCTCTGCCCAGCGTTGGCCCCAATCGCCATCAATTGTTACCGCCACTCAGCCACCCTATATGTAGGTGGTGAGTCTATGCTCTCCAGTGAAGGTACCACCCAGGGTGATCCAATAGCGATGCCGCTGTACGCTATTGCCACCCTTCCTCTTTTGCAGGAAGTGGCATCCGAGGGTTCAACCCAAGCCTGGTATGCTGACGACTCTGCGGCTGGTGGCAAGGTGAGGCCTATTCGCCAATGGTGGGATAGCCTTGCCGAGAAAGGGCCCTCTTTTGGGTACTTCCCCAATCCAGCAAAGTCTATCCTTCTCGTCAAGCCAGAGTTCCTGGATGAGGCACGCCGAGTTTTCCAGTCGACTGGCGTTCAGATCCGATCTGATGGCGTCCGATATCTGGGGTCAGCCATTGGCTCCCCTGAATTCATCACCCAGTACATTGAGGAAGCGGCACGCTCCTGGTGCGATCAGCTCACGAAGCTATCCGAGATTGCTCTGACCCAGCCTCAAGCAGCTTATTCTGCCTTCGTCCACGGGTTCAAGAGCAAATGGGCTTTCCTCTGCCGCACGACACCTCAGCTGGCTGTGGCTCTGGAAGAATTGGATTCCTTAGTCACTAGTAAGTTCCTCCCGGCTCTGTTGAGTCGTCCGGTGAGTAACATGGAACGCACTCTGCGCGCTTTGCCCTGCCGTTTTGGTGGTCTGGGCCTCGTCGTCCCCAGCTCTATGGCTGTGCAGCATCAGTCGTCCCTTGCCATAACCGATTCTCTAGTGCAACGGATTCTCCGCCAGGACCCATCTCTGGGTGATGCACTGGTGTCCATCCGCACCCAGAAGCGTCTTGCCACCTCCCAATCTCGGGATGCACTGCGGGCTGAAGTCACGATGATTACTGCTACCCTTGATGCCGACCAGCAGCGTGTTATCCAACTTGCCTCTGAGAAGGGTGCTTCAAGTTGGCTGACCTGTAGGCCCCTTGCACGTCATGGCTTCTCTCTCAGTAAGGGTGAATTCCGCGACGGGGTGTACCTCCGGTACAATTGGTTGCCAGACCGTCTGCCGTCAGATTGCTCCTGTGGTGCCAGGTTCACTACCTGCCATGCACTTTCCTGTCCGACGGGTGGATTTCCATCCATCCGTCACAACGAAGTGCGTGACATCACGGCAAGTCTGCTGAAGAAGGTTGCCCACAATGTCGCCGTGGAACCTCACCTCCAGCCTGTCACAGGAGAGCAGTTTCGCTATCGCTCAGCTATTGTGGAAGAGCAGGCTCGTCTGGATGTAGCTGCCAGTGGCCTTTGGGGTGGCCGGTTTGAGCGCACTTTCGTTGATGTCAGGGTGTTTAACCCGTATGCGTCCTCAAACCGGGCCACCTCACTGGCCTCAACCTACACTCGGCAGGAGAAGGAGAAACGCCGGGCGTACGAGCAGCGTATCCGCGACGTGGAACATGCTTCATTTGTGCCAGCTGTGTTTGCCACAACAGGTGGAATGAGTCGCCACTGTACAGCTTTGTATAAGCGTATTGCGTGCCTGCTAGCAGAGAAGAGCAAGGAGCCGTACAGTGTGGTGATTGCATGGGTCCGCTGCCGCCTAAGCTTTGCGCTCCTCCGGGCGAGCGTCATGTGTCTCCGTGGATCCCGCAGCCTCAAGGTCTCCGTCGACTCCACCACCCCTGCTTCTCTTGTTGCTGCGGAGGCAGTGATTCCAGGGCACTAGCTCTTGCAGTGTGACTTGGCATTCGTGTGGTCTAACAGCAATTTTCATTTACACTTTTGTTATTAGTTTGCTTCACACCTTTTATCAGTCATTACGTATGATTTATAATGCAGTGGCAGTACCAGGCGTGGGCCATCCCCTGGATTTTCAAAATGGGTGCTTTATCATTTTTCTGTTGTTTTTACACTTCTTCGTGCTTTGTAATAAAAGTCTCTAACAGTAAAAAAATAATAATAATAAGAAGGACCCGCACACAACACACTGAGCTACAGACTACACGACGGCATGCAGGTGAAACAGACACAGAAATCAGGGGCGAAGCGGAGCGGGTACAAATCTACTTGTAGTTCTGTTGAGCACCCATGCCACCATTTGTCATCCAGTAACCTGCACAGGAACGAATCATGATTCATGATGACATTGCGCATGGTGTGTTACGAACGACTACCGCCATTTTGACCAAGGAGCATGCAACGGCTAGTGTGCAAAAAATAAAAAATTAATAAAAAAAGGCTCAAGAGGGAATTGAACCCTCGATCTTCGGTTTACGAGACCGACGCCTTACCACTTGGCCATTGAGCCTTGGTGTGAGTGGAGCATACAGAAACACTAAGTTCAGGATCAAACACAACCCAAGGTTTACAGAATACTTTTTTTGAATTTTTCTGGCTCATTGTGCAACAGATTTGTAAAGCTGTGTTTGCATGAGCGCTTTTAACCCTGGTGGAGTTCGACCCGGGTGGAGTTTTAGTCCGCCGTGAACACAGATTGACTGGAGCATTTACATGGTGCATCACGTTTCGACCAGGGTTGACCAGGTCATTTTACACCATAAATGACACAGGCCACGTGCACCTGTATAACACCAGTCACCCGGCCTCAGCAGAGGATGCCATTCGACATCATTCGTTCACTCAAATTATATTTGAGTGATTCTCGAATCAAAAGGCAATGCGTCAGTATCAGCATTCAGCTGAGCACTGGACTTACTATGCTCGCATCACACGGTTAAATTCGTCAGGCCCATCCATTCGAGGTGGTGTAATCTATACCAAGCAGTGCACAGAAAAGTAGACACTCCAACATCATGATACCTGAAACTCAGAGTCCGGACAAATACCGGACTTTGTTCATTAGTGTGTTCCCTGTGTTCAAGCCGATGACGTACATTTTCTATGTCATTCCGAGCCACTTGCCGCTTGCCATCCATGTCATATTAAATCCACCCTGCATTTCAATGGCGCAACTTGCGGCCTGATAATGACTAGAGTCCTGAACACAGCAAGAGAGACGGGCTTCCTATTGCAACAGTGGTCATTCAACATCAGCACAGGGCATACAATACTCAGATCCTATGTTCTAGTGCTGTAGATGAGCCGTGACTGTTCAAAGAATACCTTCACGGTTTTACCTTATGGGTGTGACGGGCTTTTCCACAAGCGGACGCCATCTTGCCTGCAGCACATAATATAGGCCATAACATTATCATTTTCAATTCTAGGTATGATCTTAAAAAAAATGCATTTCCAGCGTGTTTCGTTTGTTGCTGATAAGCCAGCCCAAGAAACGTCAGCATAGTCAAAAAGAGGGCGAAGATAGGAAGAATAGAGGAGAATGTTGTATCCTTTGGCTGCACAGCCAACTAAAGTGCTCAATGTCCGGTGGATCACACTACATGTACCGGCAAGAGTATATAACCCCCCAAGAGTATGCACCTCCTGATTCCCTTTTTCAGTATGGGGCACGCCAACGCCGAAAACTCACATCACATGGTGCAGTGTCGCAGTTCACATTTCCAGCCCGTTTTTAGCAAGCAGCGGAGTAATAAAAAAGCACTCAATGTGACAGAAACTCACTGCACGTATGCAATACAGCAGGATGTTCGGATTGCGCGCACGCTATCCTTCGTTTGTACGTAGTACGAATGTGCCTGAGACACTGTGTGACGTGATGTGAGTTTTCGCCGTCGGAGACCCCATATGCAGACTTGCAGAGTTGCACACTCTCTTGGGGGGTTATAATACTAGTACTCTTGGTACCGGCATAAGTTCTTGACCTCGTTCGTACCAGGGCAATATTGGCCAATATCTGCCCGAACTGAGTCAGCCGTGAGGGAAGATATCGATGCCAGTATTGCCCCAGTAGGGCCAGTACGCTATTCCCTCAACTAATGAATCTATGACGTACTAGAATTCACTATTGTTGAACCTACCAAACTGAAGGGCTGCAGCCATGGTTACAATAGCCGGACCAATGAAGTCTTCCGGAGTTAGCGGTGCCATTTCTTGCGTCACAGTACCGTAAGACGGCAACGTCTGTAGGGCCTTCCCTATCAAAATAATAAATTCTACTACTACTACTACTACTACTACTACTACTACTACTACCTATTTTGTAGTGTTGACTGCAGGAATTATTTGTCTGGCTTACGACCGTGGACACTGCTTTTATGTCTTTCCAGGTCGAGTCTAATGTACCGGCAACAAGAGATTTAATAGTTGAGCAAACAAAACTGAGGGAAATAACTGCGCTGACGTAGTACTACCGCCTACTGTCTGAGTACTACTACTACAGTCCATTCATAAAAAGATGGGTCCTGGCTCTGGCGAGCTCCCGTATTTGGCGATTTTTCGTGATTTCATCGTACACAGTGCAGTGCTGCGAACTTTGAAATTTGAAAAAGGGTCCAAAAAGGGTGCCTGAACTGGGGTTCGAACCGCAGAATGCACTGTAGCAGGCGGGGTCAAACGGCCTGGATTTTGATGGTTTTTCCCAATTCAGTGCTTTTGGGGCAAAACCTGGCCGAAATCCTATTCTTGCTATGGCTTGCTTTTTGGACAAAAAAACTTCAGAAACATAATAATATTGGAAGAGGATTCCATAAGGGATTGCAGAAAAAATTCTAAAAAAACTCAACGTTTGACCCATTTATGGCCAAAAGCTAGAAGTTCATTTTTTTCTGAATGGACTGTAGTACCGGTACTGCGGTTTTTTTTTTTTTTCACACGGAAAACTGAGCCTCTTGTACGGGCAAAATAACACATTTTGTGAAGAATCAACACATAATATAAAAACGAATCATCATATACAGTATTTACAGAGTCTGTCACTCAGTAGGATCACTGCACTGTGCAGGTTCACTGGATGCGTGCCTCCGCCGCCACTAGCACAGCAGGGGACTCAGGCATGGCAGGAGCAAACATGCTCCTTGAGCCACGCAGGCACATAGCACCACAACGCACCAGGGCAAACCCAAGGCGGCAGCGCAGCAAGGAGATAACCTGCCCGTATGGCTCCTTACTCTTCTCAGCCAGGAGAGAGGCGATCCGCGTGAAAAGAGCATTGGCATGCTTGCCATAGCCACCAGAGGCAGAGAGCACAACGGGCACGAAGGAGGCATGCTCAACTTCACGTACTCGCTCCTCGTACTTCCGGCGCTTTTCCTGTTCATGGCGTCTGTAGCTAGCAGCGAGGGAGGTGGCACGATTCGAAGACGCAAAAGGGTTGAACACCCGTACATCAATAAAGATGCGCTCGAATCGGCCACCCCACACACCACTAGCCGCAACGTCCAGCCGAGCTTGCTCCTCCGTGACAGCTGTGCGATGGCGGAAGGCCTCTCCGGTGACGGGCTGGAGGTGGGGTTACTGCGGTAGTACGGTACCGGTACTTTTTTCTCTATTTTTACAGTAATTAATTTACGACTCCCTGATCAGCAGCTAGCTGCAGAATTTTTTTTTTTTTTTTTTTACACTGTACTAAAAGCCTCTTTTACGGGCGAACAAAACACAATTTGCCATGGCGGAAGGATTGAAAACAAATCACATAATGATGACGTCGCATGTGATCAGACAGCAAGAGAAGCATAGCATAGTCCGCACAATCACGGGGCAAGGCTCAACGGGACACCCTAGCCTCCACGACAGCCAGGGAGGCACAGCCATCCATTGGAGGCTGCCAAACTCGGCGAGCCCCACGCAGACACATGACACTCGAACGCAGCAGGGCGAAAGACAGCCTGCAGCGGAGGTGGGCAATTAGCACAGAATACGCCTCCCTCCCACGTAGCGACTGGAGATGTGCAATCCGGCTCACCAGTGCAGCGGCACCCTTGCCGCATCCTCCGGTGGAAGAGAGCACAAAGGGGAGAAAAGTGGATCGCTCCACTTCTCGGACTCTCCGATCATATCGACGCCGTTTCTCTTGCTCATGGTGCCGGTAGCAGCCAGAGAGAGAGGAGGTGCGGTTCGAAGACGCATAAGGGTTGAACACCCGTACATCAATAAAAGTGCGTTCGAACCGACCCCCCCAAACTCCACTGGCCACCACATCCAAACGAGCTTGATCCTCGGTTGATGCTGACCGGAGCTGAAACTGCTCCCCAGTCAGGGGTTGGAGATGTGGCTCCACTGCGACGTTGTGGGCGACACCCTTTAATGAGCTTGCCAGTATGTCGCGCACCTCGTTGTGGCGGATCGAGGGGAACCCACCGAAAGGACAGGACAAGGCGTGAGCAGTGGTGAATGCCTTCTCGCAAACACAGGTGGTGGGCAGGCGAGAAGGCGTCCAACCGTAACGGAGGCAGAGGCCATCCCGGAATTCCCCCTTCGACAAAGCGAAGCCATGGCGAGCGATGGGTCGGCAGGTAAGCCAGCTTGAAGCTCCCTTCTCCTCTGCCAGACTGATAGCGAGATCGAGTTCGCTGTGTTCGGTGCGGAACGTATCGGCAGCTATCTTCATTGCCTTTCTGGCCTCAGAGCGAGCCTGACTCTTGGCCCTGCGGACACAGGCAAGAGCATCATCGAGGTGCTCTTCTTGCGCCATGATCTTGTCGTACAGCGCAGTGGTGATTAGCCTGGAGGTGCCGTACTGTGAGCCAAAAGTGGCAGGGTTGGCCACGCCGAGGCCTCCATGCCGGCAGGGGAAAGTGAGCAAAATGCGTTCAGCTTCACTGGGCGCCGTCCGTCCACTAATGGCAGGGATTAGGCGGCGGTGGATGATGTCCTCCAGGGGTGCCAGCTGTTCTGCAGCACCATCGAGAACCCGACACAGGAAGGACCACCGGTGTTGGAGGCTGTTCACCAGTGCAGAGTAAGCTGCTTGAGGCTGTGACCGGGCGAAATCTGTCAGCTTGCACAGCTCCTGCGACCAGGTGGCCACCTTGGAAGCCACAAAATCCTGCACAAACTGATCAGTTCCGATGGCTGATCCAAGGTGACGGCACCCGTCAGTGGTGATAGACACACCCGTGCCGGCGAAGATGGTCTCGGCTGCCTCTAGCTTGTCCCGCTTGACGACGAGGACGGACTTGCTGGGGTTAATGAAATACCCGAACGCCGGCCCATCCCCGACGAGTCGGTCCCACCACTGGCGGAGAGGGTTGAGCCCGCCACCCGCGGACGAGTCATCCGCATACCAGCTCTGGCGTGTTCCTGGGGTTGCCACTCTGCGCACCAGGGGGAGTACCCCCAAAGCGTACATCGGCATAGCAAGAGGATCTCCCTGCGTTGTGCCTTCTCGCGATAGGAGGCACTCCCCGTCCACGAATAGGCGGGCCGGCTGACGGTAGCAGTTTACGATAGCGGGTGTGATGGCTGGACAGAGGTGCGCTACGTTGCGCATACATGCTTCTCTGTTAAGGCGATTGAACGCATTGGATGCATCCGCCATAAGCACAGCGTCAACGTCTTCTTCATGGAACGTGTCGTGCATGGCGTGAATGGCCGCCTCAATGCCACATTCCTGGCCTCCGCACATCTGCAGTGACCCTGTCGCCTCACGAACAGAGTCCCCCGCCACGCTCAGAATAGCCTTGCCGATGATACGACGGACGGTTTCGCCGATGCCTATTGGGCGCACACCCGGTTTCTTATCTAGAGGGATAAGCCGGCATGCCGTGTAGGCTTCCATCGATGCTGGGTTGACGTACTGAGTGGCGATTCGCCGGGCACAGCTGGCGAGAGCATCACATAGGTCGTCTGAAATGTCCCCAAACGCTGTGCACATACGCCTCCAGCCATCTGCGTCCATCCCAGACGGCCCTGCAGAACCGGTGGTATGCAGTGCAGCTTGGCGCACAGCGGTCCTGTCCAGCTTGGTGAAGAGCACTGGGTGGGGCTGTGCTGGGGGTTGCCCTGGGAGGAGAGCCGCTGCTGTGACTGCTTCGCCCTGTGGGTGCTTACTGCGCAGCACATCAAGCACGGTCGTTTCTCCAATGGTGTCGTCAAGATCAAGAACTCCACCACCCATGTCGGGGGAGAGTTGACGAGTGGCTGCCGAGAGCCTGCCACGCTCAATGTCAGACGCAAATCTGCGTGCCGGGTCGACCGTGTGTCCCTCGTGCCGTGCGTTTCGCCTGCGGGCCTTGACGATCTGGTCTTGGATAGTCACGGATTCTTGGAGTAGCACCTGTACGTCTCCGGAATCCCACGAGGCAATGCGGCGCTCGATGCAAACCTTGTGAGCTGCTGCCGCTACGGTCCCGCCAGGTTTCTGAAGGAGCAACTGCTGCATTACCATCGCCGTTTTCAGGGCGTAGTCAGCTGCACCTGAGGAGTTGTTACCAAAGGCGTGGAAGTGTGAACTCAGCATACGGATAAAGGTTCGGCCCGTGCTGCCCATTGGTACGTCCAACAGGTTTGGGGCAAAATGAACTACCTTCTCGTACGCCTCGGATATCCGGTTGGAAAACGTGGGACCGTCCAGATCTCCCATTCCGAGTGTGGGGTCCCGCAGGGGAGGATGGGGTGGCAGGTCCGGGATAACAGGATCAGCGACGTCCATTGTTGCTTGGGACATGTTGAGTGTGGCTAGCAGTCGGACATCGTGTGGATCTACGTCCCCACTCGCTGGTAGGTCAACTAGGTCCACTACGGTCACGGTGGCACGCTCCGCGTCCGCTGGCTCAGGCGCTTGGCTGGCAGGTTCGACATCAGCACTGCCATTGGTGTCAGGCGAGTTCGGCACCTGTACGGGTACTACAGTGCTACTGCTAGTACTGGCACCGGGAGGCGAGCTCGACCGGGCTGTGCGAGGTGGTCCGTGACGACCGTCTCTGCACTCTGCAAGTAGGGTGGTGGTGAGTACTGCGGCTGCACTCTCGGTGACTACTGGCTTGTGCACATTCGAGACATTTGGTACGGGTACGAAGTCTAGTGTCGTATCGGAAACTGCGGTTGCTCTGTTGTCGGAGCTTGTCGACGTCCTGCTGAGTCAGTGCTGACAGTGTGGTCCGTTACCGTATCACGAACAGAGTTTCGTGCAGTTCCTACGGGTACGGTAGCTGTAGTCGTCGACGACGGTTGAGAAGACGGTTGGGATGTCGGGGAGCCGTTCCGGCATTTGTTCTTCTTCGAGGGGATACAATTCCGACACTTCCGACCCTCCTTCGTGCAATCGCACCGAACACAGGTGCCGTTGCCGTTGCACCGGCAACAAGTGGCACTCTGCATCGGCTGGTTTGCAGGAGAGGCACGTTGGAGTTGGAAAATCCACTGAAGACTACAGAGCTCGAGAAACGCGTACCTACGTCAACATTCAAAAAAAACATCTCCTGCTAGCTGCAGAATCAAGACTCAAGCGGGATTCACAGAAGCTTTTTTGCGATGCGACACGCGATGCGACAGCCGCGAAACTGGGAAATCCCCAAATCGCAACCATCGCGGACTACAGTGCGTTTTTTTATAATAGACTCTGAAATCCTTGAGAACGTACTCAAGGCCACTTTTGAGAAAATGTCATGCGAGTTGCGTCACGAAAATCTGCGCGCGAAATTCGAAAACCAGGTGTGACTCGTGGCATTTCGCCATTTTGTTCAGAGTGTCCTTCGAGCTAGCTCCTCGTGGCTGGAGGAATCATTTTGTTGCTGAATGCTCTGTGGCCCTATTTTGCTTTTTCTCGAGTGTCTTTTCGCTCGTGGCAACTTGTTCTCTCGACATGCCACATATAACAAAGCGCGAACGGGCCATGGTAGAATCTACATGGTGGTGTCTGTTTTACAATTTTTGCGAAGACGAGGAGAACAATGGCTGGGCATCGAATTGGTCCCGAGTATTCCATTCGCCATGCTGCTGTTGCGTGTGGCGTCAGCATTTCCACCATGAACAGATGTACCAGGGATGCTGACGGCGAAAATCAGCGTGCTGCGTTGGCCTTGTCTGTCTCCAGTGATGAAGGTAACGAGAGTGACAATCCCCAATGTGAGACTCGTGCCATAAAACCACTCAACCCTGACGGATTTGCTGTAATTTACGGATTCTATGCTGCGAAGGAGCACCCAACACTGGACAAAGTTCCTGCTCGCTGCATAGAAAGCATCGACGATTTTCCAGACATGAGCAAAACTAGCTCTTGGAAAATGTTGCGTTCCATGGGATTCCAGTGTGGCAAGACCAGAGGTATCACACACATGATGATGGAACGGCACGGGATTGTGTCATGGCGGCATCCCTACCTGTGAGACATACCTGGATGACACGTGGGTCAATGCGCGTCACACAGTTACTAGGAGGTGGTCCGACAATGGTGACAGGAGTGTATAGGCAAGCAACCAAATGAAGCTCCATCAGGTAAAGGCAAGCGCTTTATTGTTCTGCATATACTGGTGGACGGGACGGATTCGTGAAAAACTGCGCCGATGTGTTCGTGACTGGAGACCGACGAAGCCGACGCCAACGATGATATACGTCGTCGGCTGTCCTAGCACATCTGTTCACTGTGTAATACTGTCGTCACAAGTGCAACACAAAACACGGAATTATTGGGGCCGTTTCGACGCTCGCTGGTCTTCTACTATTCGCAGATGTTGAACCAGACACAACTGTGACCTATTTGCATTGTGTGTTTGTGTGTGTGTGTGTGTGTGTGTGTGTGTTTGTGTGTGTTTGTGTGTTTGTAAAACCGCTCATGTATTGCTTCCTTTTAGTCTCTTTATGGGTGCTGTGTGAATTGCCCTTGTGATTTGTTGTGGTGTTTGAATTTTCACTGCATTCTTTCAGGGATCGAGGGAAGTTTCCTACATGCATGCTGGGATGTTTTGATTTATTGAGCTAATTGCAATACAGCATTTGAATTAATTCAATTATTCAGTACAGTTTGCCACAGTAAGTCGTGAAAAGCCACGACTCACTGGTTTCCTACAAAGTTTAGGAGAACTGCAGACAGCAGTGCACAACTGCACAGTCATGTACATGTACATGCATGCGTTGTACCGAAAAAGAAGAGAAAAAAAAGAATCAAGATGAACTGTACTGGATTCGAACTCTGGCGGACACCATGCACGTGATGAGCTTTCCTGGCTAAAACTTTCGTTTTAAAATCAAAATCCACTGAAAACCATTTAAAACCGGATTTTCAGCCCAAACCCGTCCGAATATCTAACTTTGACAATTATTATTATTCCGATTTCCAAACTTAATTTTCTTCGATCCAAGACCCACACAAACGCAGCTGTGAAGAAATAAATTCAAATTTGGAATGAGAACAAACTAAAAAATCAAAATCGACAAATGTCTGTTTTAAAAAAACGCACTGTAGTGCTGACCCGAATTTGCTAGCAATTCTTCTAGCAAAATATCGAAGAATTTTGAAAGGGAATTTGCTGGCAAAATGGAGCAAAATATCGGTGTGTTGGCTGGGAATTGGGAGATTTTACACATAATATACGGTGCACATGACTCATTTCGGCACAATTTTACCAACACGTGACTCACTTTTTCTCATTTTTGCCAACACGTAACCCACTTTCGGTCAGTTTTCTCACACGTGACACAAATTTTGGAGCAAAAAGGGAGCAAAATATCGAGTGGCCTAGCAAAATGAAAGCAAAATTTCGACGATGCACGAGCAAAATTATGCCGCAAAATATCGAGATTCAGCTGGCAAATTCGGGTCAGCACTATCGCGGACCCCACGCAACTGCCGCAACAGGGCCATCGCAGGCCATCGCAGAAGTTAGTTGAGCTTGGCTCAACTTTTGCGATGCGATGCGATGCGACAAGCGATTTGGTGTACGATTTTGACCTTTTTTTCTGGGATATCCCCGCGCCCCGCGCCCGCGCCCCGCGCCCGCGCCCCGCCACATATGATTACGTCATCAAGGCGATTTTTGTGAACAGCGAAGCAATTTATACTTACTACTTATTTTGTTGAAGCTTTTTTCAAGTAATGTGTGTAGTTTTTGCCTGCCAAGTATGAGTCCACTGGCCACTAGCACTGAGCATGTGTGCAGTTGCTAGTTGATGAGTGTAGTTACAAGCAGGGTTTCTTTGGAAGTCCAAGTGAAGGTGGCTAGGCGTCGTGCTCTGAAGCCAAGGTGACGAGCTGCAACGCTGCCCGTGCTTAGCTGGGTGGCATGGATGTCGAGGATATGGAGAGCGCCTCGGGGTCTGCGGAGAATGGTGATGCCGGTTATTTTGAACCTGCACGAGTACTGATTGATGGTGATGCAATTGTAACAATTCCTGAGTGGCTACGCATACCATACGGCACAGAAAAGATGAAAGACAACAAAATGGAGTTGAACAGTTTGGTAATGAACTACTTGCTGATGGAGGGGTACAAAGATGCTGCAGATGCCTTCAGCAGGGAGTCGAACACACCTCCCAATGTTAGCCGCAGCTACTTGGAGGAACGAGTCCAAATCTGCATGGCCGTGCGCAATGGTGACATTGTTGAAGCACTGAGATTATTGAATGCACTGGATTCTGGAATTATGGAGTCCTTCCCGAATGTCTACTTCAAATTAAAACGGCAACAACTGATTGAGATCATCCGCAGTGGCGATTACGTGAAGGCCATTGAATTCGCGCAACTTGATCTGGCATCATTTGGTGAGGAAAACAAAGAGTATCTGAACCTTCTTGAAGAAAGTATGGCATTAATGATTCACTCCACACCGGCAAAGTCTTCACCGTTTGCTCATCTGATGACCAAAGCACATGTAGAGAGTTTGTGTAATGAACTGAACTCTGCAATCATGAGTCACTTTGACTTACCGGAGTGCTCGGGTCTGCAGCGAATGCTGCAGATGATTGGCTTTTGCCAGAAGTCGCTCACTGTGGATCCAACGACGCACTACGCCATGAGTCCTCTCGGGCAGATGCAGTTCACAGAATTTAGCGAGCTCTGCGTTTCTCGGTAGGTGAGCAAATAGTAGACACGTGTTACTCTGCTGTGTGGTCGTAAGCAGAACACAGGTTGTGTTCATGGTGTACATCGCCTTGCAGAGTCGAGTCATGTCACTACTACATCGCCTTGCAGAGTCGAGTCATGTCACTACTACATCGCCTTGCAGTGTTGAGTCTTGTCACTACTACATCGCCTTGCAGTGGCGAGTCTTGTCACTACTACACTACTTGCGGAGTTGAGTCTTGTCACTACTACACTTCTCGTGCACGCGCTTTTTACCTCCTGTCCCACATCATTCATTTGCGTAGACGTTTGTTTCTCGGCCATGTTCGTCCTTCAGTGTTCATGTTGAACAAGTTGTCTAGCCAATGTGTGTAGTATAGCTGTGCTAGTCGACATGGGATGTGTGCTCATTCCTGTACGATGTTGGGTTGCTTTTGAACTCTTCAAAGTGTCTATTTGTATGCTTGTTGAAACAGGCCTATTGTCCGGTTGCCTTCAATTCAAATGAATTTGCTGATTGTGCTGCTATATATTGAAAACTATTTTTAAACATTTCATATAAACTGTAAGCTAAAAGCAAACCAAAGCCATGCTTGCTTCGGACAAGTATCACGAAAATTAACGGACGATGTACAGTGTTTTGCTTTGTGTTGTTTGAGTTTCATTGCTGCTCATCCCGTTTGCAGCACATGGCATTTCCTGCTCTGATGTGGGATTTGTCTCTTCTTATGTTTCTGTTCTAAGTTTGTGATGTCATTTTTGATGCCCTGCCCATGGATGTCATTTGCGTAACATATCTTCATGCAACCGAAGAATTCAGCATCGCTGGCCGGTACGTGTGCCTATGCAACTGTGAATATGTTTTTGCTTTGACTCAGTCACTGGGTGTGTGATGTGTCAGGAAAATCACTTGCACCAGCCAATGAATTTCAGCCCCTAAATCCCCCCCCCCCCCCCCTAAATTGTTATCCATTTTAGGGAAGACACTCTGTGCTGTCCTTCATCGTTGAGTGAGACATTTGAAAACATTGCCTTTCAAAGACAAGTGTGGCAAAATGGTATGTCTGGGCAGGTCCGACCAATTGAAGAAGTGTCAGGACATTATATCAGAACGACCATGATTTCTTATCGCATGGCATGGCGTCTCTTGCTTCAGTTCAGTGCTTGTATTTATAATGCACACTGCACTGGTAGTGGTAAGTATGCATGCCATATGCACTACACCGTGACTGTAATCTAGACACGTAGGGCATAGCCTAGGCCAGCCCAGGGAGGCAGGGTGCATCCCTCGTGACATCTCCAATCATGTAGACCTACATGGACGTCTGAGCTGTGATCTGTGGCAATGGGACTGTCCGTGTGCATGTCATTAAAAATGACAGCTGAGCGAGTCAGTGACACTTTGTCCCTGTTCTTTGCCCACACTACAAAAATGTAGTCTGGCATGCCGCACAACTGGCATAGCAGTCTTTCTCGAGTTTTCACCTGGTTGCCTGGCGCACGGCCTGGACCCTGCTGACAAAGACAAGTGCCATTACATGGGGTCTTGTGACCAAGCGACAGCTACCGTGGCGCAGAACCAGCACTCCAAATACATGACTGTACTGATGTAGCAGCAACAGGTTGTTGATTGGTACCCGCTGGATACATCTCCGACAAGAAGTACGCTCGATAAATGGTGTCAAAAGTTAGTTTTACCGTTTCGTGGGTTCGTCGCCAGTCTTGAGGAAAGCTGTTTCCAGATTGAAAAATCTGCTTTGCGGCGTTTGCCATCGTCGTCGTCGTCTTTCTCTCTTGTGATTTCTTCCCCGCCTAGCGCCTGCGAAATGACTCCAAGAATTATTGCCGGGGCGTTGCTACTGGTGACGGTTGCGTTGAATCAGGTATGTGAATGTGTTCAATTCAGGTCAGACTCCGTGTACGTTTATTCTGCGGTTCCTCTCTTACTTGTATAGTAGGGTTAAATAGGGGATTCACACTCATTGGGAAACCTGAGGTCACGGGACAAGGTAAAAGTTCAGACCTTTGGACCGAGTGCGACCGTTCACATCCGTGGTCAGTTTTCCCTTGGCCGCATGTTTGGCCATGAATTTATGGCAGGGGAATTAAAAAAGATAATCAGCTCAGTGACTGCATTTTTGTATTTGCCGTGCACGGTTTTCCAATGGGCGTGTCTGAAAATTCAGGCTGCGATGCACTCGTACAACTAGGGTTCAGAGTTCTCGCCAAAGATAAGACCTGCGCACGCGGCGTGCCGTATAGCCATGGGATTTTCCCCTTGACAACCGCACTGAGGCCCACACGGCCATGGCTTTGCCAATTTTTCCCGAGAGGTTCTTCCCCCCCCCAGTACCATGGTTTCCACAACTTTCCCAAAACCGTGGTGTGTGTGTGTGTGTGTGTAAATCCCCTATTAGGGTGCGTTCTTAAAACCTTTCGGAAAAGTTGGAGACTCTGAAAAGTTCAAGAGCTGTTCTTTTATCCTCTCCGAAATGTAGGAGGCTCTTCAAAGCTCTCCAAGCTCTCCATACTTCAGAGGTGGTTGAAACTTGGAGATTCCCGCGGTTTGGGATCAGCGCATGCGAACTACGGCTAAAATCCACGTGTTGATCATGAGTGTACGCCTTTCCCCTTTCGCATGCTCACGCATTGTGTGTATGCGAAAGGGGAAATGCGTACACTCATGATCAACACTCAAGATCGCGGCCCCTTTGGGCTTCATATGTGCAAAGTATCTCCGAATTCTTCGAGACCCGTTCTTAAATTATACCAGTTTCTTCGACTTCTCTTTTCTTCTTCTCCGAGAAGCTA